CCCCCAAACCAAGTATTTTATGCTGATAAACTATATAAATGCGTGTCTAATCGTGCTGCAGACACGTGTAGTCAGTAGTTTAGCACTTTAGTGCATTTTAGTTAAAATTTAAAGAGCAAGTCACCCCCAAATCAACTTTTTTGTGCTGATAAACTATATAAACCTGTGTCTAATCGTGCTGCAGAAACGTGTATCCAATAATTTGGCACTTCAGGGCATCTTAGTTAAAATTTAAATATTCTGCCTAAAATTGTCAGTGTTGCGCCATCGTCAGGGAAAAATTCTGCACCGTAATTGAATGTAAATCTACCACCGCTATTGGCTAAGAGGTACGCTATGATGTTAGCTGGTACATTATGATGTCACAATGCCATTGTGAGCCTGTGTGTGTGTGTGTGTGTGTTTGTTAGCGGCTCCGCCCTCTCAGTCTGCTAGGCAACAGCATTTGTTGCATTTTTCAAACAGGAAGTGGGAGTGGACTAATACTCTGGTAGGGGGTGACTTGCTCTTTAAAATAACAGTTTTGTGGAGCGGGTAGGTGTTCTAGGGGACGTTTGTTTACCTGGATTATGGCGGTTAGCTATTTTCTCATTCTGCGCAGTTAGCTTTTTCAGTTTGCTGATCTTCAATAAAAAGCACAAGAAGAAAAAGAAGCATTTCTGTTGGCATCATGGCAGAGCCTGGAAGTAAAAGTAAGAGAGTAATGTCTTTGGAGGTGAAGTAATGAGCCAAAATCGGAGTAAACGTCAGTGTGCCCTGCACTCGTTTGAGGAAGCTGAAAAAGGCTATGAAATCCTGGACTGATGGCTTTGTTGCTACTGGATGTGTAAGAAACAATTCCATTTGTCCAACAGTGTGGGTCTTTTAGATTTGTAGCTTATTTAGTGAGGCTAGGCTCGTGTTAGCTCATTGGGAGCGCTAGCTACCACAAGCAGGGTCGTTTACGGTAGCTGTAATTCCACTTTCAACCAGTAGGACGGAGGAGCAGGAAACTGCTCTGTATTTAAAATAAACTAAACACAAGATGAAATCTTTCAAAACATTTTTTACGACGTTACGTTACATTTGTCGTATCTGCTGAAATAGCATTGAGAGGAGCCAGCTGAGGTGGGTCCTCGGGCATCTGGTCAGGATGCCTGCTGGATGCCACCCTGGTGAGGTTTTCTGGGCACGTCCAACCGGGAGGAGAGCAAAAGGGAAGACCCTGGACACGCTGGAGGGACTATGTCTCTCCTCTAGCCAGGGAACGCCTTGAGATTCCCCTGGAGGAGCTGGCCCAAGTGGCTCTGGAGAGGCGAGTCTGGGCCTCTCGACTTGGGCTGCTGCCCTCGCGACCCAACCCCGGATAAGAGGAAGAGGACGGATGAATGAATATTAATGGTCACCTGAGAGAAACTATGTAACAGGACAGAATCCATGTGTGTAAATGAGAGGCGCACAAGTGGAACAGCGACGCTACAGTTAGAAATAAAGAAGGTAGAGAACTTTAAAAGTTTAGGGTCTGTGGTCCAAAGCAATGGGCAGGGGTGGGCTAGCCTCTTCTGCCATTGTACCCAGTGGCGGTTTTACCATTAGGCATTGTCATGTTGGGTTGTGGTTTTTTGACCCACGACATGCAGAATCACACAACAGGCAGAAGGTAAGTACAAATTATTTAATTTTAGTTCGGTGGAGATGCAGATGAAGATCTGGATTCGGGAGGTTCTGATGAAGTTCTGAAGTAGAAAACCAGAGCGAGTAGTTGCAGGACAACGGGCACAAAAAGTAATGAGAGTTTGTCTTATGGTTTCCTGGTTGTTGGGGAGAGTTTGAGAGGAGGGCAAGTCGAGGCTGGCTGAGTTGGTCGGGTGAGAGGCAGAGGAAATGGCTGGGAGCTGAGCACCGGAGTCCAGGGTGTCCTGATGGCAGGTGAAGGTTGGAGAGCAGGCGGTCAGGGGCAAGCGGCGGGCTGGTGAGCAGGATTGATCCGGTGAGTCTATTGCTTGATGGTAGAAGTTGGCTGATGAACGGGAGGTACCTGAGGAGGTCGGAGGTAACAGGGCAGATTAAAACGAGAGAAGTGAGGTAAACAGGAGATAAAACCAGCTAGAGACAGGCAAAGGTTCTGGCGAGAATACTACCCAATACTGAGTAATCATCTGGCACTGAAGAGTTGTCCTGACACTCCCCTGACCACTGATGAGAAGATCAACAGCAGCTGCTGTTGGATAAATTATGGATACATTATTTTAAACGAAACTCATCCAGCTTATTCTTTCCTGGCAACAGACAGGCGCTTGACCTTGCCTCTTCCCAGTCCTAGCTTATCAGTAAGAACGCCGTGTGCCAGCGCATGCTTGTCTCCCTAAATGTGTGTGCGTTTTATCCTTTCTGTGTGTCTTTTAATAAATACTCTTGAGAGGGCTTTGGTCCGACGAGAGAGCAAAGAGACCACCGACTCGTGCGGCCACACCCACCTGCACACAGAAGGACTCAGCACAAAACAGGTGTTAACTCAGCACAGACCATGACAGGCATAGGTCGGCGGCCGCCTGGGGCCCCCTTGTGTTGGGGGACCCCCTAAAGGGGGGCTAGGGGGCCACAATATTCTTATTACCAACCTGTCACCGCAGACGGGATTGGACATGCTTCTCATTACCATAATTCCTGAACCGTTTAAGATATCATTAAAATTCCAAAAGTGCTGAAAAGATTAAAAATGGGGCTTTTCGTGCTTATAAAATACATTACGGTAGCCACCGGGATTCCCTGTCTTGAGCACAATGAATTACAGCACAGATTCAGAGACGTGCTGAGTTTGTCATCCAAAATGCTCCGTTTTATATTTTTTGAATGGCTGATCAGCTTCAAATAATTCCAACGGTTCCTAAAAGAACACAAAAGCAGCTTTCCAACGATCTATACATGAAGCAATCAGGGTTATGGAACATATCGCTACGAGCATGGACGTAATTTTGGGGGGGGCACTCTCACAGCCGGTGGAACAGAAACGTCTCCCTGTGCAGCACGACCCCCCTGCTCCACTGTGAGGGCCGAATGTTCATCTCAGTCCACCCCTGGCGAAGGTGCGTGTAGAAAAGAGGCGATGAAATGTGTGAAGCAGGCTGGAATGGGTGGAGAAACGTGCCAGGTGTGATGTCTGACGACGGGGTTTCAGGTGTAGAAGACAGTAGTGAGAGCAGCCATGTTGTGTGGTTTTGTGCCCGAGGACAGGACACGAGACAGAACTAGAGGTTGTAGCTCATGCTTTGATGTGAAGAGCTCAAGGACACGACCAAGCTTGGCTTTGAACCAGCAACCCAATGATTACAGGGCAATGTCTCACCCCTCTATCTGTGTTGTGCCTTTAGACATCTATAGATCTGTGATCACAGACCAGTGTAACCTCGTATGTCTGAGACAAAACATGACTTAGCAAAAAACAAACAACAGAAGCACAAATTACACATCAGTGTTTATTTAGAAGCCAACAACACCTTCAGGAAACGTTCAAAATCCTTTCATTTCAGCGTTTTATTGTCTAATTTACATAGAGGAGGTTATTTCTTTATCACAAATGTTTTATGAGACCTACTGGTTCATGTGAACGTGATCAGGTATTCTGGGTATGCCTGAATATCATTAAAGACAACAAACATGGATGGATTATTGGCTCTATCTGTGACGCTATCGTACAGGTCTGCGGGATTCGTAGACTTGGCAGGAGGGGTGATCATGGTACCACTTCCCTGGGTGTAATCTCCAACAAGAACCCGGGCCTGGTACATGCGCTTGTGTCCTTTGCTGTCAGGTTTGGCGTAGTTTCCTGCTGAATATGCAGGGTCCACAGCAAAGTAGGAGCCTTTACCGTACATCGCACCTGAAACAGCAGAAACATTTACAGGTGGAGGCAGAAAACAGGTAAAATATAGACATGTCTCCAGAAGTCACCCTGTCAAAAAAAAACTTGTTTACAATCATATTTAGACGAGGTCACATGATGCAAATATCAAAGTTTCATCTAATTCTCACCCACAAGTAGGGTTGTCACGGTAACCGGTGTAGCGGTAAACCCCGGTAAAAAAGTTGACAATAATAATAACCGTCTTGTTTTTTAAAACATATATTATCTCGGTGGGTTACCGTGGCTGCGGTGTAGGCGCAGTGACCCTTACCAGCCACCGTATCATCTGCTGAAGTTGCCAGCGGCACATGCGCACTTTGTTGTTTACAACCAAAACTTTCTTGAAGCTAAAGCTGAAATAATGGCCAAAGGAGGAGACGGCAGCGATCAGGACATTTATTATCCCTCAAAGAAGACAAAGTGGGAAGTACGGGCATCTTTTGGATATCTGAAGAATGCCGAGGGACAGCTGATAGAAGACGGCTATCCTGTTTGCAGCATGTGCAGAAAAAGTGTCTGTGAAAGGCAGCAACGCTTCAAATCTCATGACACATCTGCGTGACCATCACCCACAACTCTACAGTCAACGCAAGGCAAGCTAACGTTAGCGCTTTAGCTAAAATGCGTGATCTGAGGATTTGGGTTGAGGGAGAATGCAACGAGTCGCTATATAAAGCAGCTGCAGCGCCGCTACCTGCATATAAACCGTGTCGCGGAAACCGCCATGTTGAAATGACGCTATGCATTACGGGGCTCCCAGGGGCAGATAAGAGTTGGTCTCTCTCCGAGAATAATTATGAATTTAACAATGATTACTGCCTGATGACATTTTCCCACATCTGCGAAGCTCACTGGAAGGACACAAACCGAGGACAATATTTTCCTGATATAGGGTTTATTACTCAAGTAAGGGTAAAAAAGTATCTGATTAGAAGGCTACTTGAGTACTGAGTATCATCTGATGTAATATTTTTAAAATGATGACATCAAACAGACAAAAAATAAGAAGTTATGGGTAAATATTGGTATTTTAAAGACTAAAGGGGAAAAATGTAAACAAATAAACAACATAATTACAAAATAACACATTTTAGGCTAAATTTAGACACAAACTGAGGACAATATTTTCCTGATATACAGGGTTTATGTAGTTGTCTGAAAATGTAACACGTTTAAAAAAGAATACCGCGATTATACCGAAAACCGTGATAATTTTGGTCACAATAACCGTGAGGTTAAATCTTCACACCGTCACAACCACAACTAGACATGAAGCACTTGGAGAACAAGTTGGAAGATTTAACTAGAGTGGTACTGAGGCCAAAGAGAGGGAGAACTCTGGTTTTTTATATTGTAAAGAAAAACAACATGAAGAGGACAAAGATGTAACGTGAGGAGAGCCAGTCATCATGTTTGACAGTAAAAGGACAAACGCCTGACTAGAGGGTTTTAACCTCAGACCAGAGCAGCAGCTACAGCTGATTATGTGAACAAAAGGATCCTAGCACTGAGACGTGGGGAACACCGGCGGTGACGAGATCATGAAGGTTTGGTACCGTGTATTCCTGCGTAGCTCCGGTTGAAGCCCTTAGAGTTGATGAGGTCGGTGGATTTGGAAGCAGTGCCGTGAAACAGGAGCCTCTCGTTGTTGGCGTGGTTGTTCTTCACCTCCATCTGTTTCTTCAGCAGCTGGAAACTCTGCCACAGCGTCGTGTTTTGGACCCGTTCGACCTGCAAACGTGTCACATAGTCAGGTAAAAATACCACTATAGCAGGTTAAAAACGCTGCATTTAACAATCAGCTGATTGTATTCGGGGCAGCAGTAGCTCAACAGGTTGGGCGGGTTGTTCAGTAATCGGAAGGTTGCAGGTTCGATCCCGGCTCCGGACAGAGAATTCTGCTGTTGTGTCCTTGGGCAAGACACTTAACCCCGCTAAAGCTTGGTTTATGCTTGACGCGTTCACTTTCCGCGCGGTGATGCGGCTCGCGGATGGAACGCGCTTCACAACTCGCAGCGTTTATGGTTCATGCGGCTTGTCTCTGCGGTGAGCCAATATTCTCCCAAACTGTAGGGGGCAGCATGGAGCTCTATGGAATGCATCCAACACTACACCATAGTAGAAGTAGAAATTACTGTTTACAACATGGCATTCCAGCATTTTTAACAGCGTCCTCGTCTTTTCCGACAGTGCGAGCTATTTCTCTCCAAGAATTATTAACAACATGTTGATCACGGTGATATCTGAGAGCTGAATCATACAAATGTCTGTATTTACGAACCTCTGCCGTACTAGTTCTTGCCGGTCCGCCATGTTTTTCCGCATCCGTCCGTCCGCGTGGTTAGAAAATTTCCTAGGTGCGCGTTGCAGAAATTTTGGGCCGTGCGGAGGCGCGGTGTGGTTGTTAAAATGACGCAAAATGACGCAACTTTTCCGCGCAGAGCCGTGCGGACGCGTCAAGCATAAACCAACCTTTACCTGCTGGTGGTGGTCAGAGGGACCGGTGGCGCCTGTGGTCAGTAGTCTCTGTCAGCACGCCCCTGGGCAGCTGTGGCTACATCGTAGCTCATCCCCACCAGTGTGTGAATGTGTGTGTGAACGGGTGAATGATACACTGGAGTGTAAAGCGCTTTGGAGTCCTCTGACTCTGAAAGGCGCTACACGGGTATGGGTCATTTATCATATCTTCTGCTTTGATGTCACTTCTCAGGTCATTCCTCATTTATTCCCAGGTTTTTCCTGCTTCTGGTCCGACAGAGGAATATTCCGGTCTCTGGTTGAAAAAACATGTTTTAAACTAACATTTAATTAACTTAACATCGAATACTTTGGGAGAAGAAGGTCTGGTCTTTGCTCCCGGACCTGGATCCTCCACCACCTCAATCCCCTTTAACCCGTGTTGGTTCTGGCCTTTAATGGATCAAGGATGACCTTTAACTCACACTGATGACGTTTGGAGCGAGTCCGTTCTTAGTAACTTCTCCCATCACGGTGTTGTATTCCGTCGTTCCCACCGTCACAGGAAACAGCTTCACGATGTCCCCCTTCATGTCCTCCCAGTGAGGAGGTAGAGGAGCACCAGACGCTACAACGAGAATGGACTTTACTAAAAGTGACCTGGACTTGTTCAACTCTGTGCAGACGGATGGTGTAATCACCTTTCAGGTCTTTTCTCAGCAGCTCCAGCTGGTTCTGCCCATTCGGTAAATAAGCTTTCTTGAGTTTCGGGTCTGCGATGAACGTTTTGTTTCCGATTTTTATCTTCACAGTTGGGTGTTTATCTAAAGCATCCTCCAGCTGAAGGTTGGTGATGATGTCAAAGGGAACCTTTGAACCGTTAGGGTCCTGGTACTGCCATTCCACCAGTTTACTCACTAGTTTAGCTCTGCTCCTCATATTCTCCGTCTTCTCCACCTTCCGGATGATGTCCCTAAAAATCACCAGAACACGATGAAAGCGCTTTCACGAAAACATGTCGAGAGACTCGGCGTCTGGTTTCTGACCTGATGGCTGACTCGGCCTTGAAGACGTCTCTGGTCAGACCCTCCAGGTGGATCTTTGATTCTTGGTCTTCCCGTCCTGTCTCCAGACGGATGTTCACGGTCAGCTCCTTCTGGAGCGACTGAAGCTCCTCCACGTCAGCGTGGCTGAACTGACTAATAAGCTGATCAGAGATGGTTTTCTTTGCCTGCTCGGCCAAAATTAGATTGCTGATCCGTTTCTTGGCCTCACTCACGGCCTACGGTGCAAGAAAACCATAGTTTGGTTCAGTTTTGTTAACAGGGCGCATTGTTACCACTGAAATGACAGCAAACTACAAATCCGCAGGAAATAATCTCAACTATTTTAACCCAGAAATATCCCCAAAGACCTGGAAGCTGCAGTTTTAAAACGTTTTACTGAATTGTTTCAATCAGAAAATGAAACAAAAGAAGAATAAGTTCAGACGAACCGTTTCGGTTTCGGCACACAGCTGAAACACCGCCGCCTCAAACTCCTCCTTCTCCAGAACCAAATTAGTAGGTCTTTGCTGCTCTGACCCAATTCCGAAAAAGTCTGGAATGAAATGAAATAATCTTTCTAAACCAGTGGCTGTAAATCTGAGCTGAAGCAGAGAGGGCCACTCCTCCGCAGAGACGATCTGCTTTTAAACGCCACGAAGGCCGGAGTTATCAACGCTCTTCCCTTCTGCAGATTTATGCATCTTAAACTTCTTCTGAAAGTAGTCAAAACAAGATGATTCAGTGAAGACAATACTTTTGTTCAGGGAAAACATTTTTTTACTCTGCTCCATCACCTCCAAAAAACTCAACAACTGACAAATTCTACAACTAAATCTGAGCATAAAGAAGTTTGGTTTAATATTTCCTTCCGGCAGCAGATGGACAGCTACCTTTGATCTTTCCCATGAGTCCCTTCTCCACTTCCTCTCCTGACCTCTTCCTCATGTTACTGTAGAATTCCTTTATCATGATCGTCTGGAATATCAGGATCTTCACGCTGCAAACAAACTTCTGCTTCTTCTTCCTCACAAAGTCCACCACGGCACCAACCATGGCGTCGGCCACCGCAGACGGGCTCGCGCCTCCCTGACCTACAAAGAAGATGACCAGCAGAGCTGATGATGATGAAGCAAACATGTCAGACAAACACACGGGTTATTAAAGCTCTATTCAAAGCCTCTAACAGCGCTGAGTACCACATTCAAAGATGCAGTGGCATGATGGGGGCTTGTCCGGGATCCAATCAGATTTATTTATTACATCTATTTGGATTGAAACGTCCTGTTTCAGAGAAAACTGGTGCATATTAACAATTTGATGAAAAAGGGAGACAATAAATTTATTTTGAAAGTATTTATTTTGATGTTGAAAATGGCCAACGACGTTCAGGTTTCTGGATTGTTTTCGGTTTATTTACTTTTTTACTCTTCTTCTGTTTCATTACAGTGAAGTAAAACAGACCCACAAAAACCTGGAAGTGATGAAGGTCCATAAAACGGTGTGATGAAATAAAAGCAGCGACAGAATGAAGTAAACAAGGAAAAAGGGTTTAAGTGAATTTCTACTAGGGCTGCTCAATTAATCAAAATTTAATCACGATTACGATCTGAGTTTTGAACGATTATAAAAAACAAAACAAGCCGATTATTTGCTCCTCCCGCTTGCGCTGCCCTGAGTTGAAAATGAAGCACTCCTCCCACAGTGTTGCCAACTTAGTGACTTTGACGCTATTTCTAGCAGCTTTTCAGACCCCCTTCTTGACTTTTTAAATCTTAAAAGTACCTAGCGAACACCTCAGAAACATCTCTGGTAACCCTTAGCTACTTTCTGGATAACTGTCGTCGACATTTCCTGCAGGTTAGCTAAACACTCCGCCTGTGCTCCGGAACGTTCTTCAGGACATTAGGAAAGGGAATGATGTAGTGATGTGTCAGTCGCTAAAGAAACGGCTCTCAGAGCCGGCTCCCTGTTGGATTAACCAGAGTGAGTGACACACACACCGTACCTGCGGGCTCCTGAGCCACTAAAAACGGCTAAATGTGCGCGTGCGGCGCGCTAAACACGCATGCAGCTAGCCCCGATTGCTGTGAAACCGGGTTTGGGGGGTGGGGGGGTGCAGCTGTGGTTGGGACAATTACTACATTAACTGATGGACTTGTAAATAAATAGTTTATAAATAAGGTAGAAATAAGTTCCTCACGCTAATAACTAATAACTAATCTCTCTGAGGACACGGTGCTAGTGCACGCTCCTACAGCACCTTGACACGACTCAATAAAAGTTATGCAAAATTTTGTGAACATCAATTTATTTGCAATTATTTGTTATAAATGCCACTGTATAATTCTTGCTGTCAGTACTTGCAAGATGTTGGTATTTGGGTCTGTACTGGTTAGACTTAAATGAGTTAAACCAAGGTCTATAGCCCTTGGGTCATAAACAATGAGCTATAAGTATATTGGTCTTTTTATACTGGGAATCAGGAGTTATTTTAGTGATCATCTTGTTTATTTATTTTTGTCCTGATTGTGCCCTGAGCAATTTTATGACTGAATAAAAACAATTAAAATCAACATAAATTGAAAAATCGTCCTAAATAATCGTGATCTCAATTTCAGTCACCATAATTGTGATTTTTATTTTTGCCATAATCGAGCAGCCCTAATTTCTACTGTAGTAAAATTTGGGTCAGACCTGTTCCCAGAGCTGGGAAAGCAACAGAAGAGAACTTGTGGTCCTCGCAGAACTTCAGGACTCCATAAACCATCTCCTTAATCCTTGAGGGATCGTTTTGACCGACGATGTGGACGATGTTTCTGGAGGGAAGCTGACCGGCTGAGGTGAGGATCATCGCACGAGGCATGTAACCCTGAGCACTCACTAGACAGGAAACACTCAGACAGTTTGAACCACGGACTTATTCTGTTTCTGTGATGGTAGCATTATTTACACCCTTTACACCAATGTAGAAACTCTTTTATAGCTTTCAAATTTCTCTAAAGAGGATGAAAAACTTCTAAATAACAATAAATGTAAGAACTGAGTAACCGTCACAACAAAGCAGCCAAATTAAAAAATGTAAAAGCAAATTATTTCCCTATTTTAAGGACACGCTTGAACTGGTGCTCTAACTGGTGCAGATTCTAGACTCATTTAAAATTTCTAAATAAGAAAAATAATGGTGACTTAAATGATTATTTGTCCTTGTGACAGTTAAATAAACACACACCGATGGCTGAGCACTCCTGCTGAACCTTGACTCCGGCGCTGTCTAGGATCGCCTTGGAAACTCCTGAGAAACGGAAGAGAAAACAAACAATTTAACCCTCCCGCTGTCCGAATGGGTGACCCCGCCAGGAAAGTTGACCATTGAGCAGGATTGATGGTTTATCCCTTGGGTCTACGTGGCAGGGGTGAGGTGGTGCTCACTCCTCACCCCTGCCACGTGCACCTCAAGGTATAAACCAAGCCCCCACAATGCGGGTGAAAAATTGAGGCCATCGCGGAAGTGACAAAAGTTGCAGTTCCACCCTCATCCACTAGGGGCTGGTGTCAGAAGCGAGCAAATCCTCATTGACTCCCATGTTAAAAATACCAATTTCACAGCAGAAATAAACATGTTTACAGCCTGGTACCAAAACATGTTTTAGGTTTAAATGATCTAGTTTACACTCATGACAACTCTGAGGGGGGTGAGTGTTTTTCTCACTCTTCTGTTTAAGTGTATTAAAAGCCTAAAATTCTGTATAATTAATGAGCATCCGACCCACGTGACCACAGAGCTAGCTCCGTGGAAAGGCCTCAGTAGAGCCTTGGTCTGGCTTGGAAACTGCTCCGGGATTTTGAGTCTCTGTGTGTGTGTATTCTTTTTTGGATATTTTTGTGCAATTGTTGGACAAAATGACTTGCTGTGGCATTAATTGCACTAATAGAGCGTCCAAGGAGTGTCCACTTCATTTTTTTCGGTAAGTAAAATTATATTTATGTATTTTAGGTCACTGCCGAGCTGAGCTTAGATGTTAACATGTACTGTTTAACCATGAAATTTAAATGTAATAGGGTAAAACCCAGTGCATTTAACATAATGCTGCACTTTAGAAAATGGGTTGAAATATAACATGTTGGTGGAGCTGGGTTCCGACTACCGGCTTGTGGAGCTCTCCCGTTCTCCCCTCCCCGCAGCTCGGCCCATCTCTGTCTGCTGCGCGGGCTGCCGGCTTGTGGAGCTCTGGGATGGAAACCTTTCCACCCGGTTCTCCCCAGCGGCAGCTCGACACATCTCAGATCGCAGCTGCGCTTGTCTGCTGTGTGGCTGCCGGCTTGTGGAGCTCTCGGAGACCTCTGTGTTCCACCCGGTTTTACCCAGCGGTCAGCCCGGCGTATCTCTGACTCAGAAGCTCTGGTGTTGTGCACAGTTAACTCCGGTTGTAGCTAGGTTGCTACCTCCGTTAGCTTAGCTCCCACCTCCGCGTTAGCTTTGGGTTAGCTTGTAGCTAGTTCGACCGGGTGTCGTCAGTTGATCCCAGCCTTACAGCCCCACCCTCAGCTCCTTCTCTCTTCCCTTTTATGGAATTGTCTGGGCTTGACGGAACCTGTGACACGGTCAAAATGGCGGTGGTGGCCACCTCCCATTTTTCTTCAAAAATGTGTTATTGCAGCCTATGTAAACCCATTGTCCAATATTTATATGTTGACGGGATAAACCATCAATCCTGCTCAATGGTCACCTTTGCTGGCGGGGTCACCCATTAGGACAGCGGGAGGGTTAACAGAAGAGTTTTGGTTCCTCAAACCTCACACGGTACCGGCATTTGGGCTAATCCAGTCAATCCCACCGCTCTGTACCAGCGTTCAGCTGCAAGGAGGAACGCTCACCTGCATAAAGGTCAAACTTCTGATTGGACGAGTTGACGATGACTTCACAGGCCTCCTTGGTGATGTCACCGGATGACACCTCCAAGGTGAGCTGACCCATCTGCATCTGGTACACACCGAGGGAGGGGGACAAGACGGGGCTGAAGGTGTCTGACACACACACACACACACACACACACACACACACACACACACACACACACACACACACACACACACACACAATTTATTTATTCAAAAATATTCAGCATTTCCTTTCAGAATTATTTGATTAAAGTCGCGATTTTGTCCAACTTTTTCTCCGACAATCGAAAAAATATCAAACCTGTGAGGAGAATTTATATAGACAAAGGGGCGTGGCCTCATCAATTATTTCTGAAGGACCAACTGACCAATCAGAGTAGACCAAGCCTTTTAGAGGGCGTGTCCTAAAGAGACGTGAGCTCATCAGCGCATTTCAGAAAGAAGAGGATGAAATATCAGTAAACTAATGCGGTCCACTGACTAGCAGCACACCCTTCTATTAAAGTTTCCCCCAAATAATGTAATCATCGTGTTTTGGTCTGAAAAACGTTTCCTAACTCAGGGTTTCCCCCAGTGCTTTATAAGCCTGGTGGCCCACCAGGCTTTGCTTGCCCTGCCGCCAGGCTAAGCGTCATGCCCCGCCCCCCTCCCCGACCCTACCGTGTCCGTATGGGGGAAACCCTGCATACAGATAATCTTTCCTCTCGTCTCACCTGAGACGTTCCGTCCATGGCTGGAAGCCCGCGGAGCTGCAGATCTACTAAAGTCCTCCTCGTCTTCATGTTGGACGTTCCTCTGACCCGTCTGACCGGAGAACCCTCTGGTGAAGCTCTAAAAACAACAGGCTGGGTTTTATTTTTATGCAGGTGTCTGATCTTAAAATGTGAAGTAAAAAAAAAGTTATAAAATAGTTTTATAGCTTGTTTATGAACGAATCCATTAGAGGTTACCGAGTTATTTTACTTTTGATACTTTCAAATGAAATCAGCACACATTATTCTAGTTACCTTCTCCACTATCTTGTTCATGTTAAGGTTGGTTTATGCTTGACGTGTCCGCGAGGTCTGCACGGCAAAATTGCGTCATTTTAACAACCACGCCCCTCCACCGCGCCTCCGCACGGCCCAAAATTTCCGCACCGCGCACCTAGGAAATTTTCTAACCACGCGGACGGTCGGACATGGAAAAACATGGCGGACTGGCAGTAACTAGTATGGCAGAGGTTCGTAAATACAGACATTTGTATGATTCAGCTCTCAAAGATCACCGTGATCAACATGTTGTTAATAATTCTTGGAGAGAAATAGCTCGCACTGTCGGAAAAGACGAGGACGCTGTTAAAAATGCTGGAACAACATGTTGTAAACAACAGTAATTTTTACTTCTACTATGGTGTAGTGTTGGATGATGCTGTAGAGCTCCATGCTGCCCCCTACAGTTTGGGAGAATATTGGCTCACCGCAGAGACAAGCCGCATGAACCATAAACGCTGCGAGTTGTGAAGCGTGTTCCATCCGCGAGCCGCATCACCAAGCGGAAAGTCAATGCGTCAAGCATAAACCAAGCTTTAGACTGAACAAACATGTTTGCATGAAATCTACAGGATAAACATAAATAACGAGAAGGAAAGTAAACAGTTTGGCTTTTATGAACAGAATCAGCTGAGAGTCGGCAAACTGGAGAAATCCAGACGCGACGCTTCTGGTCTTTACATCACCCAACAGTTCACGTGGGACTAGGGCTGGGCGACATGGCCTAAAGTCAATATCACTTCAATATCAATAGAATTTTTCCCATGTCAATAAATTTGATAATAAAAAAGAAAAAATGTGTTAGTGGGCAGCGTTCATGTCCTTTAACTCATTCGCTGCCAGCCGTTTCCTGATCGGTAAAACCCTTCGCTGCCACCGTTTTTACTGAATGTTGTGCGCCAGGATGATGTCGGCGCCAAAACAACCAAAACAAAGCGGAGACTCACCTCTTACATCAGGAAGCAGGGTATCTGCAGGTTTAAGGGAGCCAAATTTAAGAATTTTTAAGATATTTTTTAAGACTACTTTGACTAAATTTAAGCAATTTTTTAAAATTACATTTAAGCTATAATGTCCAGCTATTGCCTGGAACCGGTGCTAACCACTTCGCGAATATCCAGTTACCATTAAACTTGCACTTCCCCATGACGCAAGCTCCTGCTAGCTTAACCAGCTAACGTGTTCATCTAAAAATAGCCCCCTTTCACAACCAACTGAATGTTTACGGTTCCGCTTACGCCAACATCATACACAAAAAATGCTGAACACTAAATAGAAATTCACGAAATTTTTATAGAAATAAAAGAATCTTGTTTATTGGGTCTTTGGTAATTTAAGACCATCGGAAACTGTATTTAAGGATTATTTGTCATTTTTAAGGATTTTTAAGGCCTTAAATTTGGAAAAGCAAATTTAAGACCTTTAAAGGAGCCGCGGATACCCTGAGGAAGAATCCGTGCGTTTCGAGCGTTATCCGTTTTTTCATAATCGTTGTTGAATTGTGACTTTTTTACAGCAGCGGCCCAAAACGATCTCCTAACACATGGATGTTCTGCTTCCTGATCATGAGACGTTTGACGTATGCGGATGAAGATCGGCTTTAGAGCTGAGATGTTTGTTCTCACGGTGCGGGGGCTCGTCCGACGCCCACACAGTAAAAATGCAAATGACGACTTTAGTCGTCAATGGCGGTGAATGAGTTAAGATGCTGTACCACCTTGAGTCAGGTAAAGATGATACACGACAGCCCCCTCTAGTGGACAACTTTGGTCTCTGCGCATACCTGTGGTTATCGTCCATTTGTCGTTATCGAGGTGAAATCGTCAATATGTCGTGATATTGATTTTAGGCCCTGTCGCCCAGCTCTACCCTACACCATGGTGAGTGTCTCTCCATTTAGTCAACTCCACCTACTGGTTACTTGTATATTACGGCACTAGGACATGCCCCGTTGATTTTGGGGGACGTGCACAATGCTTCAATCAACACAACAAACACGTGGCAGCCATTTTAAACGCATGTTTGAGTCGTTAAACAGTGAGTATATCACGGCCCTGAAGATCAAGGGGTTTGTTTGCCATTTTGCAGGAAAACGCGACATTTTCAGAACATTTTTGAGAACACCTCCCACTGGAGAAGGTGGCTGTGGGAGGACGGTCAAGACTTCTCCCATGAGATAGACCCAGAAGAGCAGATGAGCTGAGACAACATCACTGGTGGTGCTTCAGTTGTGACACGTTAGAACATCAAAGCTTCAGATCCCTCAGATCTGAACCTGTTTCAGCTACAAGACTCCTTCATTAGAATCTACCGGCCTCACTCTGAAAGCTTCTCTCTTCATCTCTTCCTAGTTTTGATGATCAGTTGATGTCAGAACACTAAAAACTTTGCTGGTAACATCAAACCACTCACGTCAACTGTTTTCTGGTCGCTGGGGTGAACCATGATCACCACCTCCTCCAGATGTTGAGGGGTCCTCCTCCGACTGAACACCTGTATCTCCTCCAGCAGGATTCTGATCACCAATTCTCTGGGGAAGCCCAGGTTTCCAGTTCCGATGGCTGGGAAGCACAGAGAGGCCATCCGACGCCTCTCAGCCTGCTCCAGACAGGAAGTGATGATGGATGATAAATCCTGGAGAAACCAGAGAGGAGGTGAGTTTCAGGGTACATCCTGGAGCTTTGAGGGAAACTAAAACAGAAAAAAACTCGGGACACCGTCTTACCTTTTCCGCCTGGCCGCCACCGCCATCCCAAGGTGGACAAACGGCGTGGAAAACTTTCCGACACCTGAGATTGAAGCCATCGGTGATGACGACGTCACCGTGCTGTCGCGTGGACGTTTCGGATTCGGAGTAAACCGCGGCCTGGAGCTGGTCACCGGCCGCCTCCACGATGGCCCGAGAAACGGCTCCCTGGGTCAGGTCCATGTTGTCGGCTATGGTGTTAACAATGACGTCAGTCTGTGGACCCGCACCAGAACCAGAACCAAACCCAATACATTAGAACAGAGAGGATTTTCTGGACAGAAACGGTAAAGTTCTTTAGAAGTCACCAGAACCAGAGGCGGTACTCACGCTCTGGTTCTGAATGTTTCCCATACGCAGTACGATCTTCAGACCATCAGGCGTGATCTGCTCCATCCTTCCTGACCTACAACCAAAGAACAGGAGGAACATCTCCGAGTCCAAAGTTTCTCAAAAAGAGTTGATTAAAAAAGGTCAAATCAGCGCGGCAGACTCGGCTGGGATGGCTGACAGGAAGAAAAAGAATCAGATCTGGGGTTCTTACCCTCCATCCTCCCTGCTGTATGACCTCTGAACTCCTCTGTTCACCTGATGATCTCCCTGAAACCCTCCTCTTCCTGCTCCTTGCGATGATGGACTCTTACTGGGACTGCCTCCACCCCGCTGATGTCCACTGAGCAGCAAACAAACAGGTGAGTTCAGTCCACCAACCAAACATGTCTGAACGGTTTCCTACTTTAGAGCAGAAACCAGAACATCTCAGGAACAACGCGGGATTCATGGATCTGCTACAAAAATGAACGGTTTCTTATCTAACAAGGGCCCAGAGGTTCTGGTAAGACATTAAAGTCCTGAGGACTTCTGCAGCTGAACATCAGGGACATCTGCTCAGAGCGGCTGACTTTATTGGTTTGAATCTCGAACATTCCCAAACTCACCCTGCAGCTCTCTTGCTCTTCCTGCTCATCTCCTTGGGGATGCTCATGGTCGGCTCCAGGTCGCTGAACTCTTTCTTGACGGCTGCGGCCATGACCCTGACGGTGTCGCTGTTGTTGTCTACCAGGTGAATCTCCGTTAGCGATCTTGGACCTTGGGGACTATCGCAGTAGTCCCGGACCGCCTGGGCTATGGTTTCGGTGCAGAGCGGAACCGGAAAACCAAACACACCCGAGCTGATGGCGGGCAGGGCGATGGTGGAGCAGTTAACCATCTCAGCTTGTCTCAGACTTTCTCTAACTGCAGACTTTAGGCGAGACACTGAAGTCCTCCTGTCATACTCTGAGAACCGCGGTCCGACTGCGTGCACAACGTACCTGCAGGGCAGGTTGAAGGCATCGGTTAGGACGGCTTTACCCGCCTGTACCTTTCCCTTTTTAGCCACGTGATCATTGCTGATCTTCTGCAGCTGTGGTCCTGCAGCCTTGAGCATCGCCAAAGCCAAGCCGCCGATGTGCTGCAGATCCTCGTTGGCAGCGTTCACCACCGCATCAAGTTTGAGGCTGCAGATATCCGCCCTGCTGACGGAAACAACAACTCCACTGGAGGTCCGCACGCTGCAGTAACACACTCCACCCTCTTCTTCACCATCCTCTTCATCTTCCTCTTCGTCTTGAATCTCGGGCCGAAGCACCACCACGCAGCCCAACTCAGACAATGCTGATGACAGAAATAAGTGTCCTTGGGACAGGAAGTACTTCTTAGCTCCAGGTTTGTCCACAGTTAAGGTGCCGGCACAGAGCGCACCGGCGAGTTCGCGGAGACAGGATTTCGCTCTCTGGACATGAAGACGAGCCCCACCGACGACGATCTTTGGTCTTTCTGGGTCGAGTTTGACTGACACACCATGATCTTTGGCGATGCTCAACCAAACGTCGGACTTTTTCCTCTCGATGAACTGAACAACGGCACAGGACTCGACGCGAATGCTTTCTTGAACTTGAGAGTAGTTCTTGATGAACTCGTTCAAACTGCTGCAGACTTCTTTGACCGGGTGGACAAAGCCGGCCACCGTGACTTTGCCTCCTCCCTCTGAGACCCAAATGTTTACGGTTCTCCTGTCGGAAGAGTTGAAGGTGTCTAACAGCTCTTTGTTCAGGTCCGTCCACTCCTGACGGGTCAGAACCGTCGCGTCTTTCACATCCAGGGTCCGAACGAGTAAATCTGCTTTCATCTTACTCTCTGCATCAGCTAGGGCTTTGCCAGAACTCCCGGTCAGGGTAACCCTGTTGCTGTCAATGCGGAAGACGGCACTGATGTTATGAGACGCAAACAGGTTCTTAGACATCTCCACTGGGTCCATGGTCCCAAGGTACTGCAGGAGGCCTGGTGGGATATTCAGCTGTTTTTCCATAATGAACGTATTCTTCTCCAAGATCCAGTTTTTGGTTCTCAACACCTCTTCAGTGAGTCCTTTAATGGTCAGTGTTTGTGTTCCTTCATTGTAGGAGAGCTCCATCTCAGAGGAGATGTCTGAGGCAGCTTTCAGCAGCCCTTCATGCTTCAGGATGTAGAACCTTTCAGGAGATAAAAGCATTGTCTCACTCATACCTTTGGTGCTCCGTTCAATGACGCTCGCGGCTTTAAGAACGATGTTTTCGACCGGAGCCCTGATCGTCTTTATGTCGTCAGCTCGACCGGCGACGATCAGAACCTCCTTGGATGCATCAAAGACCAATATGGCATCTTCCTTTACGACCAAACGGACTTCTTTCTCTGCAGATTTCCAAGCATCTGTGTTCACGTCACATTCAAAGGCAGAGTACTGAGACATCAGGCGACAGAAGGCCTCCCGGGCGGTCTTGGACCAGACCGCTACATCTTTAGCTGTCAGACCTTTCTGCCTCAAAAGGCTCGGCAGAGGGCTCAGTTCCACTTCGGGATCGTCCAGTGCTACGCTGCAGAAGTGTGGATGCATCTGATCGTTGATGCTTCCCAACAGTCCCTTCATCAGAAGGAACTTCCAGATCACAGGGTGGACCTTCACTGTGAAGGAATCCGGCATCTTCCATGAAGGTCTCCCTTTGCCATACAAGGCGGTCCCCAGGGATTCGTAGTACGGATACAACTTGACAGGGATGGACCGCATGATGTGGTCTTCTTTCCTGCAGATGTCTTCCACATCTGGAGCAAGGCAAGAAAGAGAAACCAGAAGGTGAGAGGCTATGGTCAACCGAAGGGCCAAAGCAACATCAGGGTCAGAGTCCCGTTAGAACAGAACGGATGTAGTCCTGGACTTACGGGGTTCTGAGTCCATAGACTTACAAACCTTTTGTTTACAAATCAAAGACAGTTTATGGGTTAGAAACCTTTAGGGTCACCGAAGGTGACAATGGCAGCTTGCTCTTCAGGGACCATGAGGACTTTGTCAGGAAGCACCCAGTGCTTCTCAAACCACAGCTCCAGTAGGTCTGAAGAAGATTCAGAAAGAAAAAATAGAAAAAACGTTAAAAAATCATTATTTACGTTTAACTAAACACATGCAGGTAACCTTAAAGGAGATATATAACGGGTTTCATTTAAGTGATAATAGTTCTGTGGTCGATACGAAACATTGAGGTCTACGTGGTAGGGGTGAGGTGGTGCTCACTCCTCACCCCTGCCACGTGGACCCAAGGGATAAACCATCAACCCTGCTCACTGGTCAACTTTCCTCGCGGGGTCACACCCATTAGGACAGTGGGAGGGTTAGGATGTTCTTTGAACTAAACCTCTCTCATGAAGCAATAGCAGCTGTTTTATTCTTGAGAGTTTTAGTACCTTCCAGAATGAGTCGTTTGAGGGCTCTGTCACTTTAAAAACAACCTAGCTGAAGCTGACCACGCCCACCTACCCCCTAATTGGCTGCTATGAGGCAAGCAGGTCGGATTGGGGAGGGGCTTGGAGTAGAGCTGCTGCTGCTCCTCCAGCATCGGCAGGACAGGCGTGATTCTGCGCTAAAGTCACTGGTTGTGACATCACAAGGAGGGACTTTTTGAAACGGCTCATTTCAGGTAAAAAAATTCCTGAAACCAAAAACTGATAGAAAATGGATGAATGGGTCTATTCATGTTTGGAGGCAGCAGACGTCCACATGGCAGCACAAGAAGATGAATATATAATATGTCCTCTTTAACACATACAGCTAACCGTAAGAATTACATCATGTTGAACTCTTCCTCGAGGGAAAACAAATAAACAAATAAATAATTTATTTACAAAGCTGATAAACATTTTTAGAGATGTGTGAAAATGTTTGTGTACCTTTAACGTCCTTCTGAGGAAGACCTTCCACTCGAACACCCGTCGCTGCTTCCAGGGCTCGAGCGCTCAGTCCATGTTTACGCATCGTTGAGTGGTTCTGACTCGCAGGGATGAACTTTTCCACATCTGAACCAGAGATCAGAGTCATTTTATCAAGTCCAAGTCACTGATGAGTCAAACGGTTCTGGTACCAGTAGGGCTGAGCGATATATATTTTTAAAATATCGATATAATTTTTAAACAAGATATAAGATGACTTTATATCTTTGTATCGCTATAACTGGCCAAACTGCTATGCGATTAGCCGCTATGCTAGCGACATGTTGCTCCATCTCTAAGCGGTTATGACGTGTGTTCTCACAAATTAGCTCAATCTGAGAGCCTCTGGGAAAATGTGCTGCTCTAAACTTTGCATTTGGCGTTCTGGTTTTTAATTATTTCGGGACGTTCAATGCCAACAGAGTTCCGTTTCCCATCCTGCTTATGCGGAGCCAGAGGCGCGAACCATCCCCCTCCCTCCCCTGTGTAATGAGTAAACATCTACGGATAGCCGGAGTGGCCAAATTACCTCAAATGTATTGTAAGGGTTTGAATAGTAAACTAAAGAGTTACCGTTTTATTTTGAAGGCGAGCTCAACGGGTGAGAAACATTCCGTTTTTTTCCGCTCTGGTTTGCTATGCTAGTAAAAACTCCGTTACGGGCGATTCTGTTGAAAAAGTGAAGAGCTTGTAAGGCGTGGGTTATGGCGATAGTAGCCCGAGAATAATACTCATGAAAGAGCAACCAGAGACTCTGAGTCATTACAGTATAATGGCTGATAAGAGCCAACACTGTAAAGCTTGGTTTATGCGTGACGCATTCACTTTCCGCTTGGTGATGCGGCTCGCGGATGGAACGCGCTTCACAACTCGCAGCGTTTATGGTTCATGCAGCTTGTCTCTGAGGTGAGCCAATATTCTCCCAAACTGTAGGGGGCAGCATGGAGCTGTACGGCATGCACCCAACACTACACCATAGTAGAAGTAGAAATTACTGTTGTTTACAACATGGCATTCCAGCATTTTTAACAGCGTCCTCGTCTTTTCCGACAGTGCGAGCTATTTCTCTCCAAGAATTATTAACAACATGTTGATCACGGTGATCTCTGAGAGCTGAATCATACAAATGTCTGTATTTACAAACCCCTGCCATACTAGTTCTTGCCAGTCCGCCATGTTTTTCCGCGTCCGACCGTCCGCGTGGTTAGAAAATTTCCTAGGTGTGTGGTGTGGAAATTTTGGGCCGTGCGGAGGCGCGGTGGAGGGGCGAGGTTGTTAAAATGACGCAATTTTGCCGCACGGACTTCGCGGATGCGTCAAGCATAAACCAACCTTTAGACTCCAGCCATGTTTGCCCTGATAACAAATAACTCCACGGTGCATGACCCATGTGATCTTCAGTAGAAGCAATTACATCATCATACATTTAGCTTAACATGACAGATTTATTTTCTCTGGACAAGAAATAAACAAAAATGGCCACCTCTAGATGAAATTTAAATAACTTTACATTAATTATTAATATATAATTAAAAGTGCCTGTGGGACATTTGATACACCTCTAGCTCTCAAGTGTGTGTGTGTGTGTTAGCTGACAGCTGTACCAGTGTTTCTGAAGCTCAGACTGGTAGAGAATAGGCCTTAAGGTTAAAGTTTGACAAGAATCGATACATTTTATGCGTTTAATCTACTGATTTATGTTTAATTTCTCAAGACAGCTCGAAGTGAGTTAACTTGTAAATATTTTAAAGGACGAAAAATATCGAGATAAATATCGCATATCTGAATTCAGCTAAAAGATATCGAGATATAAGTTTTGGTCCATATAGCCCAGCCCTAGGTACCAGCCCAGAACCAGAGCTTGACTCGTGTGTTTGTGACCCGCCTTGGCTCTGACCTGCAGGGTTGTTGAAGATGACCACGGCCATTTTGGATTCCCAGATGATCTCCAGACTGAAGTTGTGTTCGTCCAACTTGGAGATGTTCTCCACCAGCATCAGCAGCAGGTCTCGGGTCAGGTTCTCCGAAACGTTCTCCAACACGACAGCAGGTCTGTGAGTGGACTTCGAGTCTGAGACAAAAACTCGCCTTCATTATGAAGTCGTTTGGTAAAAGTAAGTGTTTAAATAAAGTTTTTTACTTTATCAGAACCTTCTGGCCTCCGGAATGAGAATAAAAACTCAAAATTTTTCTGTTCTGACTTGTGTGTGTGTGTGTGTGTGTGTGTGTGTGTGTGTGTGTGTGTGTGTGTGTGTGTGTGTGTGTGTGTGTGTGTGTGTGTGTGTGTGTGTGTGCTCTGTTTTCTCGATCCCCAGTGAGTCGTGGTGGATGGCTGCTTATACTGAGCCAGGATCCTCTGGAGGTTTCTTCCTGTTAAAAGGGAGTTTTCCTCTCCACTGTCGCTACTTGCTTGCTTAGTATGAGGATTGCTGGGTTCCTTCTATAGGAAACTTGTTACTGATTGGCTTAATGACCTGACCTGTATTGGAATGTTTATTATGTGAAGGTCCTTGAGACGACTCTTGTCGTGATTTGGCGCTTTATAAATAAAGTTGAATTGAATTGAATACAAAATAAAACTGTAAAAGTGTGTTTTTACTGTTTCGTTTGGTTGCAGACGGTTCTGGTTCTGGTTCTGACTTCGGAATCTTTGGATCTGAAAATGAGAAGAAACAGATTTTCTCTTTAAAACCTTCATTTTTACAACTGAACAGATTTCTGCATCTGGATGAATCAAAGATCTTCTGCAGACGTGGAGAGAAAACTTCTACAGGGACTGAAGCACAAATGAAATGTTTCTGTTCTCCTTAAAGTCTTGGAGTCGTTTTTCCAGGTGTGACTGACGTCTGACCGGGCTCAGAGGTAAAAATGGGTCTGGAGTACCAGGCCTACAGTGACCGGTCAGGAACCACAGCTTCTGGACCCTAAAACTCAAGTTCGGCGGTTCTGGAAAACTAACATAGTGAATTTTATGTTTTATTTATATTTATGACATGAGTGTTGCTCCTGGTCTCTGGATGAGAAGAACCAGGATGGGCAGCGCCTCCTCACTCCGGATGTTTGGACTTTTCCTGTGTTCTCCAGAGGTTTGTGCTCAAGTCGGAATGAAAAAGTCTTGAAAATTCTTCATCCAGCTCCAGATCCGGTGATGGATGAGCTCAGACGCTGCTGGAGCTCCCAGATGCTCCACAGGAACAAGGAAACCGGATCAAGAACAGAGTTTCAGGCGTCATAACAAACTCCCGGAGAACTCTCTTATCGCAGAACAGCTGTCGGAACCAGCCTGAGTCAAAGGTTCTGCACAGACGAAGCAAGAACTTCCAAACCAGCTGCTGGTTCTGACAGAGCAAAGACCTGGACCACAGGGTTCTAACGGGTCTCGGAGAAATCCTCATTTATTACGGCAAAAACTTCCAGCTGAACGTATTAAATACGTTTATTTTGTATTTGCTGTAAACAAAAATGACTTTTTTACTTTTAGTAAAACAAACATTTTGGTTTTAAAGATGTTTTTTTGTAGCTTTAGTAAGAAAAACCAAAACGTTCATTTCATTAAAAGAAAATAAGTAAATTCAGCTGAGCGTGAAACTGTCTCCAGATCAGGATCAGAACCAGAATCTGGATCAGGGACAGAACCAGGACCAGGATCTGGACCCGCAATCAGGATCTGGATCTGGATCAGGACCAGAATCAGGATCTGGACCCACAATCAGGACCAGGATCTGGACCAGGGCCAGGACCTGGACCAGGATCCGCAATCAGGACCAGGACCAGAATCAGGATCTAGACCAGGATCTGTATCAGGATCAGGGCCACAACCAGGATCTGGACCCGCAATCAGGATCTGGACCTGCAATCAGGACCAGGATCAGGATCAGAACCAGAATCTGGATCAGGGCCAGAACCAGGACCAGGATCTGGACCCGCAATCAGGATCTGGATCTGGATCAGGACCAGAATCAGGATCTGGACCCGCAATCAGGACCAGGATCTGGATCTGAACCAGGGCCAGGATCTGGACCAGAATCAGGATCAGAACCAGAATCTGGATAGGGCCAGGACCAGGATCCGCAATCAGGACCAGGATCTGGACCTGGGCCAGGATCAGGACCAGGACCAGAATCAGGATCAGGACCAGAATCAGGATCTGGACCATGATCTGGATCTGGACCAGGATCTGGATCAGGACCATGATCTGGATCTGGACCAGGATCTGGATCAGGACCAGAATCAGGATCTGGACCATGATCAGGATCAGGGCCAGAACCAGGATTTATACTGTAAACTGGTTTCAGGAGAACAAAGGTCCAACAGAAGCAGGGAGAAGTTTTACCTGAGTCGCCGTCGCTGTTCGTCGGGTTCTGAAGAGAAAACAAAGGATTGTTTATATTTTTAAACAGAATCGGGTTTTAGTAAATAAAAGATCAAAGGAGTCAGACGTTTCCGGTTTGTGAGCCATCAGCAGAAACTCTCTGGGTCACAGAAAGAGTCTGAGACGTTTTCCTGACATGAAAAAGTTCAGTTTGTTCTTCTGAACGAGTTCAAACCGAACACATCTGGAGATTAAATCAGGATTATCTCATAAACTCTAATAACTAATGAGCAGCCATAAAAAGATCTGATCTGAATATAAACCAGTTCCTCTCGGCAGCAGGACCTGTCTGGACTTCGTTCAGCTTGTCCCCGAGTGGGCGTGGCTACAGTAAAAACTCACCTGACAGGTGGAGCAGCCGCTGACTGATAAATTATACGATGTCACGAGGCTCAGGAGAAAATTCAGCAGATTGAATGTGTACATCTTTATTTATAATGAATTCATTTACAATAATAACGATATTCTCTCTAAAGTTGTATAACAGCTGATCATTATCTGCGGTGTTTTACCTCCAAAAGTCCAGAACTCAGACGGAGAATCAACGTTCGGTTTTCCAGAAGGATTTCATGATTTTTCCTGGCGAGGACCCGATCCCTGACTGGAATCACAAACGATAAAACATCCAAGTTATTCCCAAAAACATCATCTAAGATCAGAAGTCTATTCAACAGAACCAAATGGGCCGCGTTGGGTCGCATTTACAGTAAACTAGACAATTTTTTATGTCAAGTTAAAAACTCACAAATAAAATCATCTAAATAAATAAATACTGATAAAATTATCCGACTGAAAAAAAATCTAACTCAAAATAAAATGAACCTCAATAAAAATTCTAACAAACAAATAAATTATCTCTAAGGAGTCAATAAAAAAATCTGATGTCAAAGAAAAATCAAATCAAGAATAATCTCGGGGTCTGGTTCACGAGGGAACGATGGAGCGTGATGCGGGTGTCGTGGTGAAGAGGGAGCTGAGCCAGAGGGCGAAGTTCTCGATTTACCGGTGGATCTACGTTCCTACCCTCACCTATGGTCATGAGCTTTGGGTAAATGAGTTTCCTCTGCCGAGTGACTGGGCTCTCCCTTAGAGATACGGTGAGAAGCTCGGTCATCCGGGAGGGGCTCGGAGTAGACCTGCTGCTCCTCCACATCTAGAGGAGCCAGGGAACACCTTGGGATTCCCCCAGAAGAAGCTCAAGTAGCTGGGGAGAGGGAAGTCTGGGCCTCCCTGATTAGGCTGCTGCCCCGACTCCGGATAAGCGGAAAACAATGTATGGATGGACGATATTTAAGAACAGCGGAGAGTTTCGTACACAAGCGTGTGCACACGAAAAGGTGCTCTCACAAGTGTGCACTTGGGCATTTCAAACACACGCCCTAAGGCTGCGGTCGGCACTAAATGCATCATTAATTATTTTGTATTTTTCCGTCTCAGCAGAAAATCATCAGTTCTGTGTGTTTCCTCAGAGACCCCCAAACTGGAACCGGACCACTCGGTTCTGATGAGTCCAGCCTGTTTAATTTACGAAGAATAAAAACTGAACTGATCCAAAATAAAATAATTCAATACGTGTTTCATGAGCAGAAACCCCTGGTTGTGACTCATGAGGACTGGTTCTGGAGAAGGTGCAAGCTGGGAAGTCAAGATCATTTGTTAAAAACAACAACAACAACAACAAACTTTTAATTTGGAAAGCCAGGCTTTATTTAACGGAGCGTTTCAAAATAAAACCCGCCAGGTTCAGACTCGTTTCGGTCAGAAAACCAACCAAACAGCAGATTTTATTTTTTATTATTATGACCTTTGACCTGAGTTCAGGTTTGGTGTCGCAGTAAAACTCAAACCTGTTTATATTTGTATCAAACCTGTAGAGTTTTATTCGCTGGTTCTGTTTTAGGACCCGGTTCTGGACCAAGCCCCGGCCGGGCCGGACCGACACTCACCGGCCTCGGAGCGGAAGAACACAGCGGCTCTCGGAGCTCCGTCCTCCGCCTCCACCCGACAGTCTCCTCCGCTCGACTTCTTCTTACTCTGGAAGTAAATCTGCAGTTTGTTCTTCATGGTTCGGTTCTGGTCCGGACTCCAGTCCCCCTCCACGGTGACCGGAGGGAGCTCGGTGTCCCCCATGCTGAGTCCGGTTGGTTCAGTTTTCGACTGTATTATTGCCGGGTTCGGGTCCGGTTCTGTTTCACTTTCGTTTCTTCATCAAAACTCAGAAAAAACAAAACAAAACTGAACTTCAGTCTAAAAGCATCCGAACAGAACTTTACTTGGACCCGAAACTTAAGTTATAAACGCGATTAACCAGAAAACACCTTCTAAAGGTCCAACACCCAAAAACACAAACATAAACAATCGTTTTTATTTTGTAAACAAAGATAGATAATTTATTGACAGACTCTTAGGTCCAGATAAAGAAAAATGTAAAACAACAAAACATTAAAAACAATAAATGAATCAAAATAGGTAAAAACATATAGAAAAAATAAAAATGATAAAAGCATAAAAATAAAATCTGAATTTATTTAAAAAACTTACTAAGGAGAAGCTTTTATTTAGAAATTTAATTTAAATCGTACAAACAAACTTTTCTCCTGACAAGGAAAGCATTTATTAAAAAAAATAAAACTGATTTATATTTTAATTTTATTATTTCAGCGTTAATTTGTAGTTTCACAGTCTGACGTCACTACAGCAGGCAGCACACATCGGCCTCACGTGGAAACAGCGCCCCCTGCTGGGGCTTGTCTTAAACATCACTAGTTTTGGTTTTAACGGTTTTAACCCAAACACCAAATAAATGACACCAAAACACTTTTTAATAATTATGTTGGACAACGAGGCTTCTGAGGTAATCCTAATCCAACAATATTAATAATTCATATAAAGACGTTATTTTCCACTTGTTATTTATTTCTTAAAATAAAAGGAAGAAAAAATATTCATTTTATGGTTTTATTAAGTTTTTTTTTTTACTTCTTGTGTTTTAATCATGTAAAATAAATTATTCTATTAGAGTTGTTGACTTTCAGCTCAGTTACGGTTTAATAATAAATAATAAAAACACAGATCAGAGATTTATTGTAGACTCAATAGTCAGGATCCGCTCCTGTCGCCCTTGTTAGTGTTGACTGAACTCACCTGCCCCTCGTTACCTAACCCACCTGTTTCCCTGATTACCCACATGTATTAAAACCTTCTGTATGTGCTGGTCTTTGTCAGATCCTCGTCTCGTCCTCCTGTTGTATCGTCCCACTGACCATCATTTATACATTAAACAGTTCTTTTTCCTGGCAGTCTGCCTCCTGTTCCTGCTCGCCTGCTTTTGGGTCCTAACTTCAACTCCACATCATGACAAAAATAACAGAAAAGCTGTTAAATAAAGTTTTTATTTCATCATCTTCAGTTCATTTTGGAGTAAATATAAGATCAGATGAATGAAAATAGAAAATCTCTTCATCTTGTCGGAAAACCTTTTATCGTTCGGGCGCCAAAAGAGAAGAAAGTTTAAAATAAAACATCTAAATGTGACTTTTCTTCAGCCGAACATCAAACTTCTTTCTTCTCTTCACCTGTAAGAAGAAAACGGGAGAGATGAAGATGAAGATGTGACGGAAGTTGAAAGATCTAGGTTGTGTGTTTATACGTACAGTCTGGTTTGAGCGGGGCGGGAGGAGGAGGAGGAGGAGGTTTGGTGCAGGAGTAGGAGACCTCCAGGTACCTGGTCTCCTCCACACAGGAATACTCTCCAAACACCAGCTTAGTGACGGGGACCTCACAGGACCTCTTCTTAGAGCAGCTGCGGGAACATAGCAGGAGACGATCACCCAAAGGTACTACAATACCCACAATCCCCTGCTGATGATGAAATATCTGTCCTCCAGCTGATCCACAAAGAAAGAAACAAGAGTGAAAGAGTTAAACGTGCAGCCAAGTGCATTCTGGGAAATGGAGTTCATGTTTACTGCAGCAGATTTTATACAAACACAGTGACAGTGAGTCGTGGTGGATGGCTGCGTGCGTGCGTGTGTGTGTGCGTGTGTGTGTGTGTCTGTGTGTGCATGTGCGTGTGTGTGTGTGTCTGTGTGTGCATGTGCGTGTGTGTGTGTGTGCTCTGTCTTCTCCATCCCCAGTGAGTCGTGGAGGATGGCTGCTTATACTGAGCTAGGATTCTCTGGATTTTTCTTCCTGTTAAAAGGGAGTTTTCCTCTCCACTGTCGCTGCATGCTTGCTTAGTAAGAGGATTGCTGGGTTTCTTATATAGGAAACATTTTTTCTGATTGGTTTAATGACCTGACCTGTGTTGGGATGTTTGCTGTGTGAAGGTCCTTGAGACGACTCTGGTCGTGATTTGATGCTTTATAAATAAACTGAAAACTGAACAGAAAACTAGCTGTTTTAAAGTTTTGATTCCAAATAATTAAGAATCTTTCTAATTTGATGATCTGTGAGCAAAAGGTTACATATGGAGCAGATGTTACAGATGTTAGTGATGATGATGTTTAAGGTGTTTTTAATGTAACAGATGTTACCAGGAGATATGAGAATAAAGACTTTTTATTATAATTTAGAGCCTTTGATCTTTATTCTTTCATCACTAAAGCCTTTAGAGGTTTCCTTACAGGTCCTCCACCACCATCTCGGCCCAGGGGAAGGAGCAGAACTGGTCCGGCCCGTCGTCTGGGTGCCGCTTCCCCTCCCCACATCTGGTCCCGATCCCCACCTTGTACAGGATGTGGTTCAGGGTTATCTTATGGTCCACATCTGGAAAACGACATGCCAGGAATGTGTTTAAGACCTCAAAATATTTTCATTTACGGTCCGACAGAACGTCTGATCAGAAAAGTCTACTTTTATTAGTTGTTTGTCCCTCTGATCAGCTGCCGCTTCAACAGATTACAGATTATATTCCACTAAACAGGTGTCCCCCGGGACAAATGTCCTCCAAAGCAGATGGACAGTTTATCTTCTGACTCAACATAAACAACAAAAACTAAAATCAATCAATCAAAGTTTGTTTGTTTAGCACTAAATGCAGCAATGTTGCCCAAAACTACAATAAAATGACAACAATCAGTTAAAAAGCATAAAAGAAGCACAAAAATAAAAATCAGACACAAAGAGTCATAAAAACAGGACCACCCTGTCAGCCCAAGGTGTTGAAAGCTTCAGAGTAAAAACAAGCCTTCAGTAACTTTTTAAAAAGCAACAGATGATTTCTGCCTGATGGTGACTGGTAGGTGCTGCCACTGAGAAGGACCTGAACCCTCTTCTCTGTAGCCTCGTCCTAAGGTCAGCCGACCTCAGTCCACGAGATGGATCATAACGCGCGAGAAGCTCATGGAGATAGACCGGTGCAAGGCCATTCAAACATTCATAAGCCAGAACCAAAATCGTACTTTCCACACGGAACCTAACCGGAACCCAGTGCAGAGGGGCAAGAACGGGAGCGATGGGATCAAATCTACAGCACTCTGAGCTAGCTGCAACCTAGAAATACACGTTGGATTAATGCCGTGGTCATGACTATTGCAATAGTCTAAGTGAGATGTTATAAATGCGTCTCCAAATCGTTCTTAAGCAAAAAAAGTCTTCACCTAGTAAAGAAAAAAGCACGATCGACAACATCATTGACTTGTAAATCAAAGTTAAGCTGAGAATCTACCTAAACACCCAGATTAGACACCACATCTGTAGAGAGCCACCCTGTGCCAGCATGATTAACTCAGTCTTAGACTCAATAATCTGCAAGAAATTACAGCTCATCCAGTCCTTAAAGAGCAAGTCACCCTCAAATCAACTTTTTTTTGTTGATAAACGATATAAATGAGTGTCTAATTACTCTGTAGACACGTTCTGTCAGTAATTTGGCACTTTAGTTAATTTTAGTTAAAATTTAAATAATCTGCCTAAAACTGTCCGTGTTGTGCCGTTGTCAGGTAAAAACTCTGCCCTGTATTTGAATTTAAATCTGCCATCGCTATTGGCTAAGAGGTACACTATGATGTTAGATGGTACATTATGATGTCACAACGTCGTGTGTGCGTGTATTTGTTAGCGGCTCCGCCCTCTCGGTCTGCTAGCCAACTGCATTTGTTGCATTTTTCAAACAGGAAGTGGGAGTTGAGTAATAATCTGGTAGGGGTTGACTTGCTCTTTAAAGAGCAAGTCAACCCCTACCAGAGTCTAAGTTGTGTTTTAAATCCATTTGTTGATTTGATAAATGTAGTTTTTAATTCCTTTAATTCCCTTTTTAAGAATCGATCACAGCAGAGAAAACGGACCCGATCAGAACTTTTTTTTAGCTCCAGACAGAAACTCGGTGTTCCAGAGTTTCTTCACATTTTCATTAATCATGCTGTTAATCGTTTAAGAGAACTTGTAAAATTTGTCATTTACCATAAATATTAATTAAACCGGATGAAGTAATAAAGTTTTACTCACCACAGCTCATGTGGGCGGTTTGGTTGACGCACGCGTAGACGACGTCTCCGTCTGTTAAAGCACAAACAGCAACTTATTTGATCTTATTAAAGTTTTAACAACACAACAAACTTAATAATAAAGCATCAAATCACTGCTCAAAGAAACACGGAACATTATTATTATGGGATCATTTTAAAGAACAAATAAACAAATTAAAAATTTATTTTAATTTAATAAAGCAAATGTCTTATTAACATAGATCAGGAGTGAAATAATAGCTTCATTTTATTTTTATTTTATCATGTAAAATGTTGTAAGTTCATAAAATCAAAAAGCAAACTTTCAAGGAACAAAAAGCTAATAAAACATATTTAAATAAGAAAAAACGAAACGAGAAAAACATTCAAACAAGAATAAAGATATGAAGTTGATCAATAATAATCTTGAAGCTGCAGTCTCCGAGCTGACCACCAGGTGTCACTAACGTACCCTCTGAATAAAAACAACACAGATGTGATTTTATAGATAAAAACATTTAAAATGTTTAATAACTTATAGTTTAACTAAAATGATTTTTTTAATGATCCAACGTTCATACTGAATTATTGTTCACGTGGTAAAAGCCACCAGAACTGGATCCGACTTCCTGTAGGAAATTAAAACCAGACTTCCTTATTTCCTTCATAATAAAATCCCATTTAAATCCACTGAGAAAACAATGATCTGGTTCGAAAATAAAACACTCCTAAAAATTTTTTCGTAGTGAGCGGAACTTTTATATGATTGAAATTTTAAAATATAATGCATTTTTGTAAAGAAAATTTACAAAAATCTCTGCAAAATAACTTTTTAAACGTTAATTTAGATTCAAATTTATCCCCAACAGCCAAAAGTTCTTCTTGTCAATGGAAAATTGATGAATTTTCCCTTAAAAGAAAGAGGAGAAAATGCAAGAGGACAAAATAAACACCTAACAGTTAGATCATCATGTTTCATCTGAAGCTCCTGATGTGAAAACTCACCAGCAGCTGGAGAGAGAAACCAGGCTGCTGCCAGAACTGAAACAACAGTCAGACAGAAAACATCTGAATCCATCAGATTAAAACAGTTAAACGTTAAACTTCAGGCAGAAACGTTGACTTCAGCTGCAGAAAATGTTGGATTGAATAAAACAAAAGTAGAAACAACTAAAATGACAGAAAACTATAAATGTTGTGAATAAAATCTGAAAGGAGCATAAAGAAAAAGACATTTCTGCTGTTACTCACAGCCGAAGGCGACCAGCTTCACAGGGACCATGTTGGTGTCTCCTCTGTGTCCTGCTGAGGTCTAACGGTGGACGCAGCGTATTTATGTCCCCGTCCTGGACGCAGACATGCAGACGCCTGTCCCACCGCTGCAGGAACGCGGGGCCCCCTGCCCCAGATGTGATGATGAAAGGGTAAAATCCTGCAGAGCTGCAGGAGACACGTCCATAAATCCACAGGTTCCAGGAGCTCCGTGGCTCTGAGCCCCAGCTGCTCCTCATTCACCTCCTCGTCTCTCATCAGGAGCTCAGAACCTCAAGCAGAAACATCTGGATGAAGGAATGTGAGAGGAGACAACAACATGTTTGTGCATAAATCAGGATGTTTGGGTAAAAACAGACTGTTACCTGGAGTCGGAGTCCAGATCTTGAAGAAACTCTAGAAGGTTCTGATGAGCTCCTGAAGGTCTTTGTTGTGTTTTTCAATTTTCCTCCCGACTCTCTGAAACACCTGAGATGAAACTCTGGACTCCAGAAATATTTGGGAGGATTCAGAGAGAATGAATAGTCAGTCTCAGAGGACTGCATGGTGGTGCAGCGGGAAGGTTGCTGGTTCCAATCCCTGCTTTAGCCTAACTGCGTGGAGTTAGCTTGTTCTCCTCATGCATGCGTGGGTTTTCTCCTGGTTTCCTCCCACAGACCAGTAACATGGATGGCTTGTTTTGTCCCTATGACTGGGTGACTGTGTCTGTGTCACTGTGAAGGACTGGAGACCTGTCCAGGTGTAGCCCCGCCTCTCACCTGGAGACCTGTCCAGGTGTAGCCCCACCTCTCACCTGGAGACCTGTCCAGGTGTAGCCCCACCTCTCACCTGGAGACCTGTCCAGGTGTAGCCCCACCTCTCACCTGGAGACCTGTCCAGGTGTAGCCCCACCTCTCACCTGGAGACCTGTCCAAGTGTAGCCCCGCCTCTCTGGAGACCTATCCAGGTGTAGCCCCGCCTCTCACCAGGTGTAGCCCCGCCTCTCACCTGGAGACCTGTCCAGGTGTAGCCCCGCCTCTCACCTGGAGACCTGTCCAAGTGTAGCACCGCCTCTCACCTGGAGACCTGTCCAGGTGTAGCCCCGCCTCTCACCTGGAGACCTATCCAGGTGTAGCCCCACCTCTCACCTGGAGACCTGTCCAAGTGTAGCCCCGCCTCTCTGGAGACCTATCCAGGTGTAGCCCCGCCTCTCACCAGGTGTAGCCCCGCCTCTCACCTGGAGACCTTAGTGAGGATGAAGCAGGTCAGAAAATGAGTGAGACAGTAAATCTCACCGTCTCCAGACCTTGTATTCATTTTGTTTGTTTACAGACGTAACAGGTGATGATGGCCTCCTCTTAAAACGTCCCAGCATGCACCTGGAGCCTCCTGCAGGTTCCAGAACCACCTCTGAGCTGAAGAAACATCTAAAGGAAACAGGAAGTTAAGCATTTATGAAATATCCAGCCTGTCAGGTGTGTGTTTTACGTTTATTTCACAAAGGATCTACTGGGATTTTAATAATAATAATTTAATACAAAAACATTAATCTCAGAAGCTGGATTGTGACTGTCATAAAGCCTTACTTTTACACCACTTCCTGCTTTGAGCCGCTCACTGTGACCTTTATTCTCTGTCCTCAGTTGGATTTTTATTGAATCTGCGTTTGGAGGAAAGACGGATCTGCAGCCATGTAGGTGAGTTTAAACTTGTCTGGAGTTTTCAGACATCTTTAAACCTGATATTTGTCCAAGAACGAGACAAAAATCTACTTTTTTTTGTCTCGTTGGCGACAAAGAGACAAAACCCATAAAACTCAGGTTAACATGTCGTCAGGTGAGTTCACATATATGAGGTGATAAAACAGGTTGGCGTCAGAAACAAGCAGAATTTCTGTTTAAAATCCAGATTTGTGTGTTTAGAGACGAGTTTCAGATTTAAACATGATTTAAATCTGAGTTTATTATAATTTAATTCACCGTATCAGAGTCCAAACCGAGAGTTTTGTAAGATGAGTTTATGCTCTCTAAAGTGAAACTTTAATATTCATAACAAAATACAGACACGTTAAATGTTTTACATTATTTGTTAAAGTGTGAAGTTTTCTTTTTGCTCTCAGCTGATTTAGAAAAGTTTGATTTAAAAATCAGCTGATTAAAATCTGTCAGGTTTTATTCTGAAACACTAACATCTGTGTGAGAATATTTAAACTTCAGCTGCTAAAAAGGATCAGAGACGCTGAAGGTACGTTACATTCACCCACCGGCCACTTTATTAGGTACACAATTACTAATCAGCCAATGAGATGGCAGCATTTGTTTGCATCATCTAAGACCTGCTGATGTTTGAACTGGAGAGGAAAGAAGAATCAGGGGTCTTCAAACCCAGCATGGTTGTTGGTACCCGACAGGCTGGATAAGCAGTGGTTCCTGCAGAACCAGAACATCTGCTCCAGATGGACTCCAGCAGCAGGAGACCACACCGGGTGTTGCTCCTGACAGGGCTGCCAAAGGTGCATCTACCTGAGCAGCGCACTGCGTGACGTCACACTCCCCTAGCTACAGCGCTGCAAACTGGTGAAGTAGTGCCCTCCAGTGGCAAAAACCTGAAACTACACTCTTGTCCTGAGAAACGGTTTAGAGGAGAACGTTTTAGCTTCCTGGTCTCAATGAAGCTGGAGAAAATCCTACTTTTTGTTTTGTCTGCTTGGGAGTATTAATGTGATGATGGAGGAGGAGGAGGAGGAGGAGGAGGAGGAGGAGGAGGAGGAGGAGGAGGAGATGGAACTACATTAATCAAGTTACGCACTTCCTGCCTCTCATAATAAAACGTTCGGTCCTTTTGGTATCTTCTGTACGTTCATTCTGTGTATCTTTTTAAACACAAACAATTCTGTGTTTACAAAGAAAGCAACGCACGACCTTTGGCCGTAGCATCAGGGGAAGTCGCTCCAACGCGATAACAACATCACAGCTCGTCAAACAACCAGCCGTGCAAAAAGAAACCAGCAGGAGGATCACCTTTAGAGAGAGACTCGCATCTTGTCTTGTTTTGTTAGATTTTGTGAAGATCAGCGAAACAAGCACATCTATTAAAGGGATGTCTGAGGAGACACAAGCCTTACTGTCACTTCATTTGTCTGTCGTGTCATTCATCCACTCATCACAGACCACTGGGGCTCCTGCATCATCAAATGAACTCCAGAAAGGATAAAAGACGTTCTCAGCCAGACTAATCAGGTCATCTTTGCTGAACCTAATGCTCTCTGGAATGAAAACTAAAACCAGCTGTTGAGAATCAGAATTTAGAATGAGATATTTTTATGTTAATACTACTCAGTACTACTACTATGTCCGTTTACACTACTTTTGTAAAATGAATGCATTTTGTGTTTATTTCCAGCGTCGACCCTTTAGATCAAAGCTGTTTCCAGTGAAGTGCCGTCATGGCAGCTGGTGAGTTTTATGACTGAAGGATGACTGAATCATATTTAAACTGTCAGCAAAACTTTTTATTTGGTCCCACCGGCTGAAGCTGGGGTTCTGACACAAAATCACAAAACACACAAACTACCAGCAGAACCAGGATCAGCTGACCAGAGTTTCTTCAGCTCCAGCAGGAAGTTCATCTTCTGTTGGTTCTGGAGGAAACAGCTGGTAGCTCTGATGGGTTTAGCATCATAATCTACAGGCTTAGACTGCTGGAGGACGCACTCGACTACTTTCTTCTACAATTTGCTCTTTAACTGTATTATTTCCTGCAATTTCAGCTGTTAACTTTATTTTCTCTCTAAGTGTTTTTCTCCCCAGAAGAAGCTACAATGATGTTCTGCTGAGCTGTGGTGGCCTCATGGAGGGGGCCATCGGCTAGCACACTGCTGCTAACCACTTAAACATTCTCCCTCTCCTGATAATAACTTTTTACTCTCTTTGACATTGGATGTGCTACTACTACACTGTAACCCCGAATAAGTTCACTGAACTAAAAATTTATGAGGAAACTGATTACCTAATATTTTTAAGTTAACTTATCTAAAAACTATAAGTTTACCATAACTTAAAAAATATGACCTGAATAAAATCAAAGCATTTAACTACCTCCAACCTATAACTTGGTACTTAAAGAGCAAGTCACCCCCAAATCAACTTTTTTTTTCTGATAAACTATATAAATGTGTGTCTAATCGTGCTGCAGACACGTGTAGTCAATAGTTTTGCACTTTGGTGCATTTTAGTTAAAATTTAAATGTTCTGCCTTAAACTGTCAGTGTTGTGCCGTTGTCAGGTAAAAACTCTTCACTGCATTTGAATTTAAATCTGCCACCGCCATTGGCTAAGAGGTATGCTATGATGTAAACTGGTACATTATGATGTCACAATGTCGTGAGTGTGTGTATTTGTTAGTGGCTCCACCCTCTCGGTCTGCTAGGCAACAGCATTTGTTGCATTTTTCAAACATGAAGTGGGAGTGAAGTACGCTTCTTGTAAGGGGTGACTGGCTCTTTAAGCAACTTACAAAGTTTAATTTCACTAAACTTGCATATTTTATTTTATTTGAACTTTATTACGTGTTTTTACTAACTTAAATAATATAACTTATATGAACTCTAACTAAGGAACCCTAACCCAAATAAGTTGAATTTACTTAAAAATGACAATGTGGCAGGCTGGTGAAGGCAGTAACTAGCACCAGATCATGGCTCACACACCCATAAATGCTAACAGCCAATGAAAGTGGAACACTCAAAGTCAAGTCAAGGGCGTCTGGTGTGAACAACCACAGTATTATCAACAATGGGACAGCACAGCCGTACAGCATTACTTTGACCAACCTCCTCACTTATGGAGCGAACATGATACAAAAAGTAACACCACATCTGCAACACTGAAGGAAATAATCACTGAGAACAACAATCCTCCACAATAAACATGCATAAACACCCCCAAATAGAGCAAAATAACTGAAAACACGACTACCCACAATGCACCCCCACCACCAGTTATTTATTGTTCCTGAAATCCAACAACATTGCTAGTTTGTGGTTGTTTTTCTTGTAAATCCACAAATATTTAAAATAATATACAAGTCTGTTTATCAGACACACTTTATGGTTGACGTAAAGATGAATGGAATAATATAGAAACATAAAATAATAAACCAATCATTTTTTGGTTAACATTACTCATTAAAGTTCAGTTGTCCTTTATTGATTAATTTAAGTTTGTTTACTTAAAAAAAGAAGTAGTTCAGGTTAATTAAAACGTTTGAGTTCTATGTACTTAAAACAAGGAAAAAGTTGAACAAGCTCAAGACATTTGAGTTCTAAAAACATTTTTTAAATTATGAGTTTAATCTACTCAATATATTTGATTATTTGAACTTTTGGGTTTACAGTGACCCGTTTAATTATAGACCCACTAGGATAAATACAATAAAGTTTATCTCTCACCAAATAGAATATTTACTAAGAAATCACAATGTAACCATAGAAATGCTTGGTATATATGTTGTGTGCGTGTGTGTTTGTGTGTGTATACACTTGTATTTATAGGTTTATGTGGACAAATTTGAACTTTAACCTGTAGTGTGTGGACATTTTCACATTGTAGGACATCTGGCTGGTCCTCACAATGAAAAAATACCCTAAACGTGGTTTTAGAGATACGGTGTAAATTAACTTTGTTCAGGTTAGGGTTAGGAATGGAACAGCATTGGTTATGGTTATGGTTAGGGTTAGGCTTGATACAGTCACAACAATGTAAAAAAATGAGTGGAAGTCAATGGAGGGTCTACAAAAGAATATAAATACAAGTGTGTGTGTGTGTGTGTGTGTGTGTGTGTGTTTGCTCTGTCTTCTCCATCCCCAGTGAGTCGTGGAGGATGGCTGCTTATACTGAGCCAGGGTCCTGGTTTCTTCCTGTTAAAAGGGAGTTTTCCTCTCCACTGTCGCTGCATGCTTGCTTAGTATGAGGATTGCTGTAAAGACACTGACACTAGTCAGTGACTTGATGCAACCTGCTGGTTTCCTTATATAGGAAACTTGTTAATGATTGGCTTAATGGACTGACCTGTGTTGGAATGTTTACTATGTGAAGTGCCTTGAGACGACTCTTGTTGTGATTTGGCGCTTTATAAATAAACTTGAATTGAATTTGCTTGTTTTACAGTCAGCAGGAAGGTCATTCGTCATCTTTCTGCTCTCTCACAGGTAAACCCCATCCTTTGAGCCGGATGAGTAGCAAAGACTTTATTCCACCTTCAAGTGAGTCTTTAAAACAGCAAAGTGCTTTTAATAACCCCTCAAGATGCTTTACAACACAATCAGTTCTTCACCCACACACACTGGTGGTGATGAGCTACAGCATAGCCACAGCTGCCCTGGGGTGCTATGACAGAGGTGAGGCTGTTGAGTGCCTCTGACAACCACCAGCAGGTAAGGTGGGTGAAGTATCTTGCCCAGGGACACGACGACTGCAGCAGATGGGGCTTGAACCCCCAACCACCTGGTCACTGAGCAGTCACTTAACTCCTTAGCCAGCATCGCCCAAGGTCTTTAAAAATCCCAATCTGCACTAAAACACAAAATCCATCCACATCCAGCATTGTTTCCAAGTGATGAACATTTTTATCTTCATATATGAAATTAGTTTAAATCTGCAGATATGGGAATATGGATGTATTAAAAGTGCGTTTCAGAGAAAAAACACTCCATGAAATAAAATGTATTTAATATAAAACAGAAGCTCCACCTGTTCTATTATTATAGGAGAAGTATTACACATATCTGACATTTTACATCCTTTCGTGCTGTTGTGGGGGTTGCTTTGCCTCTGTAAACTCTCTAATCTATTTGTTTGGGTTTAGGGATAAATATGAACAGTTTCAAAAGGTCCCCCATTGTGACATCACAATAAGGGAAATTAGCATAACCCCCCCCCCTCACCTTTAGACGCTGGATGAGCAGCAGCTTTACCCCTCCTTTCCACCGGAGCCGTCAGCAGCACGTTACTGCAGCAGCACGTCTTGCTCGCGTAAGCTGCTGCTTGGCCCTTCCCACCAGAGACGCGAAGCAGCAGGGGAGCAGCTGTCACCGACAGAGCACGAAGTCACACGAGTGACTTTGTCAGTAAACACAACAACAAGCAGGAGAAAACTACATTATGGCTCTAAAAGGTTTGTGTTTTATGTTCTGTCCGTTTTATAATCGACAATGCGGACCTGAAAAACAAAGGAGACCGCTAGCTAGGTGATAACTTCTCACAGGGCCGCACATTAGCAACTTTTTTTTTTAAAGTAAAGCAACCGGAGGCAGTACGTTTGTTTATTCTGAAAATCTCGGGAAGCTTCGCTCCGTTTCCGCGTCCGATTTCCCATCTTTCCTTCCCCAAAAATGACAAACTTGACCCGTTTCAGAGGCGTCGCGCATAGAAAATAGAACCGGCGCATAAGGGCCGTGACATGCTGCTCCTGAGACGCGGCCGACTCGCTCTGTCGACGGCTGCTGACGACTCCGGTGGAAAGAAGGGGTTACTCTCAGCCCCTCACAGTTATCCAAACTCCTCCCCTCATAACAGCCAATCAGGAGGAGGGTGGGTGTGGTCAGCAACAGCTTGTTTTCCTAGAGTGGCAGAGCCCTAAAACAGCTAATTCTGGAAGGTACTGAAAATGCTAAAATTGCTTTAAATGAGAGGGATTTAGTGCAAAAATCTGAATGAACATGTTTAATCTCGACAATAAAACTATTACATCTTCTAAAGCCACATCAGCTTTAACAGCAGTCTTCCTTCAGGTTTAAGACCAAACTCAAACCAGAATGTCCTAACCTTAACGTTTTCTAATGACTCTTCATCTGTTTGTGTTTCAGTGTCGCTGAGGTTTGTTCTCATCGGGAACAGCTGGTCTGCAAAATGTTTGTTTGGAAACGTCCTCCTGGGACAAAGCAGGTTCCTCAGGGAGGAAGAACCAGAAAGCTGCGTGAGCGTCAGAGGGCAGGTGAAGGAGAGAGACCTGGTCCTCATTAACACTCCCAACCTGCTGCTCCCCAGCACCTCCCAGAACAAACTCACCCAACTCATCAAACACTGCGTGAGACTTTCTGCTCCCGGACCCCATTTGTTCCTGCTGGTTCTGGAATCTGAGACCTTCACTGAGGAGCAGAATGTCCGGCTCAGAAAAATCCTTGAATATTTCAGTGGGCAGTCTTTTGCCCACTCAGTGGTGATGGAGCCAAACCTCAGGGATGCAGGTGACTGGGTAAACTACATGAACCAAAGGACCTTAGAGGGCCTGGTGAAGGAGTGCAGAGGACATTTTTTATGGAAGAAGACCACTGAACCTTCTGAGCTGCTGCACTTTCTGGAGAAAACAGTGAAAAACAATGAAGATCAGCATGTGAGCTGTGGCCCATTAACCTCTGACCCTTCAGCTACTGGTAAGTGTGTGAAACTCGGTCTGGTACAGATTGGAGCATAAAGAAAGCCACGTAATGCCAAAGGTCATCAGGCATTACACTACCCGCCCAGCCATCTTCATTTTGCCCAAGGAACAGTGTGCTTACCAAACCAAAACAAAAGCTCTGTTTACAACCATCTCTCCGTGAGGCAGCCTTGCAGGTTGAAACAAATAACGGTTGTTTGGGTCTGAAAAAGGCGGTTCTATGCTGCTAAAACGTGTTCTGCTGTAAGATCTGGCTTGATCTCCCAAGAGGTGTTCAGTTAGCGTTTTTGGCTGGAACTCGTGAATAGAGTGTGTCTCTATCTTTTAACGTCTGTGTTGGACCAATCAGAGAGCAGGAAAAATGTAGGAGGCGTTATCAAAGCGTGTGTCCGAATCCACGGGTAGGATGCTCATGAGTACGGGTCCTCGCCGGGTCCTTGCTAGGCCGCTAAGACCGGAACCCAGCGGCTCTGAATTCGGACAGTCTAGCCTTCACCTCTACGGTGGCCCGTAGGTCCCGTCACCGGCCGTGGCGGCAGCTACACGCAAAGGAAAAATGCTAAAGCTAGCGAAAATGGAGCAGGAATATTAAGGAGCTACAACGGCTTATGTATTTATGTTTATGTTTATGTATTTAGCAGACGCTTTGGTCCAAAGCGACTTACAAGTGATAATTGGCATGTTGCCCTTGAGGCTAACAACAACAATAACAACAACAATAACAACTTGACATCAATCTGTCAATATGTAGGTTTCTCTATAGGAGCGTCCAATAGAGAGTGGGAGGGGCCACAGATCTGCCCCCCAAAGATGCGTAGGAGATGGAGGGAGCTCCAAGTCTCAGAGATTCAGGAGCTGCCCCAGAGCGGAGGAACCCCAGGGAGACTGTGACCAGAAAAGCCCCCGCCCCCCTCGAGAGGCGCAGAGGATCGCCCCGGGGGGCCACAACCAGCAGCCGGCAGAGTCCCGGGAGACGAGCCAAACTGGTGACCAGCATGAGGGGTAGGAGCCAAACTGGTGACCAGCATGAGGGGAGGATTCAAACGGGTAACCAGCATGAGGGGGAGGAGCCAAACTGGTGACCAGCATGAGGGGGACGAGCCAAACTGGTGACTAGCATGAGGGGGAGGAGCCAAACTGGTGACCAGCATGAGGGGGAGGAGCCAAACTGGTGACCAGCATGTGGGGGAGGAGCCAAACTGGTGACCAGCATGAGGAGGAGGAGGAGGAGGAGCTAAACTGGTGACCAGCATAAGGGGGAGGAGTCAAACTGTTGTGGTTGTGTATAGATCTTCCACACACAGCTGAGGCTCCTGATGGTAAATAAAGAAAGAAGGTTCCGTCATCAACTTCCACCAACAGGAAGACATCAGAGCAGGATTAGGACATGTGAACGACCCACTTTTTCTCTGTGTCATGTGTTCCCCAGATGTACGATCCATACGCATCCTAATAATAAAGTTCCCTAATCAGAGTTAACACTAAATGGGCGTTTAATGAATATTTAAAAACTTGTTTTGGAGTAATTTTATTTAAAAAATCTATAATTAAATGTTACAGAGTTTTTTTTTCATGTTGCAGATTCTGCCTTCAGAATTGTTTTATTTGGGAAAAGTGAACAAAAAAAGACCATAGTTGGAAACCTCCTCACCAGTAAAACAGGAGCACTCTTCCAGAAAAGTTCCCTTTCTACGAGGTGTGATGTCATCAGCGGCGTGTGGAGAAGCGACTCAGTGACGGTGGTTAAAACCCCAAACTTCTTCAGAATGTCAGACGAAGCAATCAGAGAAGAAATGAGGAGATGCGTGGACTTTTGTCGACCGGGTCCAAATGTTCTGCTGCTGCTGATGAAACCTTCTACGTTCACACACAGGAAGAAACAAGTCCTCTTATCGATCTTCTGGCTGTTCGAACAGGACGCTTTTAAACACTCGATGGTCATCAAGACTCATGACCTGAAGGAATGTCAGTCGGTCAATCAGCTGATCAACAACTGTGATGGAAGACAGTTTAACCTGTCTGAAGACAACCAGACAACCCTGAGGGAGAAGGTCAGGTCCATTGTGAGCAAGAACAGAGAATCCTTCCTGACTCTAGCTGGAGAGAACCAAAGACCAGAAATCAAACCGATCAGACGTCATCTAAACCTGGTCCTGTGTGGGAGGAGAGGAGCCGGGAAGACCTCAGCAGCCAAGGTCATCTTAGGTCAGACAGAGCTTCAGTGGGTCTCCAGCTCATCAGAGTGTGTTAGAAACCAGGGAGAGGTGTGTGGACGGTGGCTTTCTCTGGTGGAGCTGCCTGCCTTGTATGGAAAAGCTCCGCAGGAAGTGATGGAGGAGTCATTCAGGTGTATCTCCCTCTGTGATCCTGAGGGTGTCCATGCCTTCCTCCTGGTCCTACCTGTGGGTCCCCTCACTGATGAAGACAAGGGAGAGTTAGAGACCATCCAGGACACATTCAGCTCTGACTTCACCATGATTCTGTTCACCGTGGACTCGGATCCCACAGCTCCAGCTGTAGTTGACTTCATCAGAGGAAGCAGAGACATCCAGGAGCTCCGTGAGAGCTGTCGAGGAAGATCTGTTGTTCTCAACATCAGGAACCAGCAGCAGGTCCCAGATCTGTTGGAGGCGGTGGAGAAAAGAATGAGATCTAACAATAGTCCAGCCTGCTGGAGATGAATGCATGAATGAGTTTCTCTAGGTCTTGTCTGGACACGAGGCATAAAGGACCCGTCTGACTTCACGCATCTGCCTCATGTGATGTCATTCAAATCAAATCACTTTTATTGTCACGTCGCATGTGCAGGTACACTGGTACAGTACATGCGAGTGAAATTCTTGTGTGCGAGCTTCACAGCAACAGAGTTGTGCAAAAATACAGTAATGTAAAAACAAGCAAAATATAAAAATGGCTAATCTAAATATACAAATGAATAAAGTAAACAATAAGATAAGAGATATAAAATATACAGAGGTTGGCATTAATGTACAGTATGGAGCGTGTAATGTTGGAGTTTCAGTAGTGAGGGTGAGGTGTCCGTGAAGTGTTCAGCAGTCTGATGGCCTGATGGAAAAAGCTGTCTCTCAGTCTGCTGGTTCTGGACCGGATGCTGCAGAACCTCCTTTCTGATGGAAGTAGTCTGAACAGTTTATGGCTGGGGTGACTTGAGTCCTTGATGATCCTCCCCGCTTTCCTCAGGCACCGCATCCTGTAGATGTCCTGGAGGGAGGGAAGCTCACCTCCAATAATCCTTTCAGCACACCGCACTACTCTCTGGAGAGCTTTGCGGTTGTAAGCGGTGCTGTTGCCATACCAGGCGGAGATGCATCCAGTGAGGATGCTCTCAATGGCACAGCGATAGAAGGTCCTGAGGATGCGGCGGCTCATGCCAAATCTTTTCAGTCTTCTGAGAAAGAAGAGGCGCTGCTGTGCCCTCTTCACTGTATTTTCCGTGTGCACTGACCACGTAAGATCCTCTGCCAGGTGAACTCCAAGGAAACGGAAACTGCTCACCCTCTCCACAGCGTCGCTGTTGATGGTGATGCATGTTCATGTTGTTGCATCACTGAGATCTGGTACCAGTAGCACGCTGCAGACTCACAGCTCAGAACAAAGAGAGAATACCAACTTTGCAAAGGATTATGGGACAGTTTGGGGGTGCTGTCCACGTTAGTGTCATTATAACAAATAAATAATCAAACACAAGTTTTTTGTGTAAATTCTACATAACAGGAACACGTAAAAATATTAACACCTGTGTAGAGATCAGCGAGAGTAATGATCTCCCCTACCGGTGTCACGTTTAGGAGGGTAGGGCCCAAATTGCAGAACCCAGGATGACACAAGGCAGGAGTGGATATGTAAAGTAAAAATCCTTTATTTTGAGGAAGAACAAAAATAAATCCAAATGGGAGGGAGCCAAAATCCAAAAAGCCAGGGAGCCAAAAAACACCAGAGGAACGAGCAGACTGACAGAACAAATAACGCTGACAAACAACAATGGACCGACAAGAACAATGAGACAAGGAGGGCTTGTATAGACAGGGAGGAGCAATTAGGGAAACAGGAAGCAGGTGTGTGGAGTGAGGCTGGAGGGAAGGCAGGTGACAACAATTATCTGGATGGGGAAGAGAACCAGTGGAGGGCAGATAAACCTAACACTATCTAAAACACAAAACTAAACCTAAAGACTAAGGGAAGAACTCACACAAACACATACACATACTGACACACACAAACTCATACACACATACAATGAACTGGGGAACAAGAGGCTGGGGCTACAACTTAAAACACACAACAGAGATGCAGACAAAGGACACATGAGGGCGCCATGAAACACAAAAGGAGAACCTGGAGTGGGAACTGGAGGGGCTGGGGAACAAAGGGACACAGAACATGACAACCGGAGCTCTTATAAAAGGACCAATGCTTGCTAATTAGGCCTCTTCTTCTCTTCCAGGTGGTAAAAAGAGTCCAGAGAGTCTCCGGATTGTTCTGATCGGGAAGACCGGCTGTGGGAAAAGCACTTCAGGAAACACCATCCTGGGAAGAGACGAGTTCCGAGCCGAAGCGTCGCAACATTCAGTCACTAAGCGTTGTCAGAAAGCACAGGGCGAGGTGAACGGTCGCGCCGTCACCGTGGTGGACACTCCGGGTCTGTTCGACACGAAGCTGAGCCTGGAAGAACTAAACGAGGAGCTGATGAAGTGCATCAGTCTTCTGGCTCCCGGACCACACGTCTTCCTGCTGGTCTTAGAAATCAGCAGGTTTACGAAAGAGGAGGAGGACACGTTAAAGCTGGTCAGGAAAGTCTTTGGGAAGACCTCTGAGAAGTTCACCATCGTCCTTTTCACTAAAGGAGACACTTTAGAGTATCAGTCAATGTCTGTAGAGAAATACATCGAAACAGGCGATGACTTCATTAAGGCTCTGATCGCCGACTGTGGAAGGAGGTACCACATGTTCAACAACTACGACAAACACAGCAGACCTCAGCAGGCCACTGAGCTGCTGGAAAAGATTGAGATGATGGTGAAGGAAAACGGCGGTGGATGCTTCACCAATCAGATGCTGCGAGAAGCAGAAGCAGCAATCCAGAAGGAAGTGGCGACAATCCTGCAAAGCAGAGAAGAAGAAATCCAGCGTGAGCTGAGAAAGCTTCAAATCCGACAGGAAAACGAAGTGAAGGCGGTGAAGATGAGGATGGCAGAACAAAGAGAAGAGCAGAGAGAACTTCTGGAGCAGCTGGAGAGGAAAATCCAGAATGTGAGTGAAAGGACGAAAGAAGAAAAAAAGAGAGAAGAAGAAGAGGAGGAAGAGAAGATGAAACAGGAAGTTGATGAACAGCAGGAGTGGGAAAAAAATCTAAAAACCTTAGAAGAAAAAATCGGTTCAACATCAGGTTTGGAGGAGAGAAGGTCACTGCAGCAGATGAGAGAAGGTCTGTGTAAACTACAAGAAAACAGGAAGAAGGACCAGAAGGAATCCTGGGATAGACGTAAAAAAGAGAAGGAAGACAGAGAGAAGACAGCTGAATCAGAGCTCCGACAGCTCCAGATGGAACACCGTCAGACCAAACGCAAACACGCAAATCAGATGGAGAAGGAAGAAGACCATCTCAGAGAGTTGGAGGAAAAACACGAGAAGGAAAGTCACAACGTAAAGAAAAGATACGAAGAGGAGGCCAGAGCAAAAGCCGAAGAGTTCAACGACTTCAGAGGAAAGTACGGCAGCAACTTCGCCGGTTTGATGGAGGAACACAGGGAGGAGGTCCAGAGTCTGGAGACCAAACACCACAAACAGATCCAGGAGACGGAGGAGAAGTTCAGAAAAGAGGCCAGGCTGCTGCAAAACCTGTTGAATTACAAAGAAGGACAGTTAAAGGAGGAACTCGAACAGAAAGAGAGACAACTGAAGGAAATGGAGGAGTTAAAGACGACTCAGGAGGAAGAATTAAGCTCCATGCAGAAAAAATACAAAAATAAATGTGAGATTCTGTGAAAACACGCCTAAAATAACAAGACTGCTGCTAGCATTCATGCTACATGTAGCAGCCCCGAGGACACATGGATTCAGACGTGTTTGTTCCTCCGATGCTTCCTTCAGTCAGGTGTGAATGCGACCCAAACCAGCGACCGGAGGGACTCGGACGAGGAACTCTGATAAATCCCACACCTGCATTAGCTTTGGTTCCCTTTCACCAAGCACCCCTGAGAGGGGACCAAACCTGGACCAGTTCACACAGTTCCCACTGACCAGACGTCTACAAGCACCACATCTGCCTGACGGACACTTCCTGCCTCACATGTTGGTTTGCTTCTTTTCTTTTTACCCAGAATTCACTTTGTTCGCCTCTTTTCTTTATTTGCTTACAAACATCCTGAGATTCATGTTTTAGACCAAAGTTGGGATAAGTCTGCACCTGCTCAAAGTGGGCCACCCCCCCTCTGGTCCAAATGGGTCTCGAGTTTCTTACAGACACAAACCATCAATGAGCCAAAGAGGAAGTGATGTAGAACCCAGTGCATTTTGGGTAAGAAAGACTAAGGCCGTGTTCGAGATGAGCCAGTTCTGCGCATGCTAGATTTGTGTCCGACTCAGGGGCGTGTCCAGGGGGTGGCCTGGGGTAGCACATGCCACCCTTGGAATCTGATAGGCCACCCCACTGAATTCCCATTAAATAGACTTGTCTACAAAATGCTTGGGGTAGAAAAAAAATCATAACCATTGGTGCCTCCCATGCATAAAGAAGTGCCACCCCATTTTAAAAGACCTGGGCACGCCACTGGTCCGACTTGACGCCGGCTTGCTCTGATGTCATGCCTACGTAGGCAACGATAACGGCCGCAGAGTCTGAAGCAGCGAAACCTAGGGCATGACGGGAAACACCTGGATCTAAGATCTAATTGGTTCACATTCTCATCCAAACATCGGGTGGTAGACATTAGTTGGTCACATGTAATCTGCAAATCATGTTACGTTGATGATGACAGCTACGTAGGCCAGAAAGAGAAGTTTTTCTTTTGTCACGTTTCCTGTAAGCACAGTAAAACTACAGCTGATTATTACAGTCATGTCTCCATATGCACATGTTTATAATACATGACGTCCACAAACATGTGAGGGTGTGTTTCCGTTGCTAACAGGCATCAGAATTTATGCTATTATGAACGCTAATCCATCTCAGGGAAAACTCCGAAATTTCATCTGGAAAAATCATATCAGAATTTAAGAAAGTCTTTGCTGCCCATGATTGAGACTCTTATTGTGAAGGATTAAAGGAAGTCCTGAGTTCCTACATGGATACTGCTGCAGAAGAAGTCATCTGAAAGAACCTCAAATAAATCAAATGTCTATTTTGTATAGTTTATTCATGAAACACACACACACACACACACACACACACACACACACACACACACACACACACCTCCCCGACTAGTTTCTTCTATTTTTTTGTTTGCTGTGCAAATTTCTAACACGCCCACACATCATCATCACAATGACAAACATGACAGCATCCTAACTGGAACGAACCACCTGTAAGAAAAATAGAACTGAGCTATAATTATTATAAGTTAAATACACAAAAACATGACTACTTATAATATTTACACCATATGCAGGCCCGGATTAATGCACAGGCTTGATATGGTTTAGGGTTTAAGCCTAGGGACCCACGTGTGTTCGGGGGCCCCCATTGGCCAGCTAAAAATATATGATTTTATTTAAATTTACATGCAAGAATATTCTTCGACTGTATTGGCCGACAAAATCATAAGCGACACTGATTGGGTAAACATTGTGGCGGTCTTGAGTTAAGTAACGTGTCACGTGACACGTCATATTCATGTATCATTAGGGAAAGTGGGGGGGGGGCATGTCCCCCCTGTGCCCCCCAAAATTACATCCATGGGACCAAATAAGAAACAATGACGAAGACGTTCAGAGACAAGAGCGGGGGCAAAAACGTCAAGCTTTAGAAATAAAAAAAAATCCAACAAGAATCTGAACAAAAAGAAACCTTCGATAAAAAGTTGGAGGAGGGTAGAGAGGAAATGGAGAAAGAGAGGAAGGAGTGGGAGAAGGAAGACAAGAATGGTGGGACAAAAGACGATGTGAGGCTGAAAAGAAGGAAGAAAAAACACTCAAAGAGCTTCAGAAAGAGTTTGAGGAAGACCAAATCAGAAGAGAGACGACGACGAGAGTTGGAGGACAATTATAAAGTAAAAATGGGGATAACGAAAAACAAATATGAAGAGGAGGCCAGAAAACAGGCTGAAAAATTCAATGACAAGACAGAAATACCCCAAAGTCAACAACACTCAAATGGAAAAATACGGCGAGGAACTGAAGAGCCTGAAAATGCGGCACGCTGACATTTTCAGGCTCTTCCCTGAAGCGACTCGTCACTAAAGATAGGATCGGTTCTATTTTAGCCACTAGCTGCTTCTGGAACGCATCAGTTACCACAGGAAACACGAGGTTAAGCAGGAAATCACACATAGTTTCTATGTAAAACCTCCAGTAATTTTCAAAATAAAAGATTATGGCAGCGATTCACTTTCATATCTGTGTGGATTACATGAATACACGTGACCTGACGGTTCATTTACTCCCAACATCATTCAAGCTTAAGAACTTTAGTTTTAAGAGATTGATTCTGGATCCCAAACTTTAGGTTTTATAAACATAAAAAGACAAATAGCAGGAAAACAGCTTAAATAGTTGTTATGTGTATAAAGCCACTGTATACTAACCCAGGCAGTGCATAAGTTTGTGTTTTTATTTATTTTTTTACATTTTTTTGCTGCATAGCAGCTAGGGCTCAATCATCACTTTGTAACACCAGACACGTCTTGTCACTGTTTAATAAAGCTTTCAAGACAATAAATAAAATGGCAATTCATTGGCATCACCGTCTCATTTGTTCTTTTTTGACTTCGTACCGGGGTCTGGGTTGCTGGGGTAGACCCCCAGCAGAGAGGGCGGGGGTGCTGAAGCCTCTAAAGTTTGAGATTAAAAAGAAAATGTTTCATCTCAAACTGGATTATTTCACCACACTAATAAAATATGAGACCCTAGAGTAGTTAATGTAACGTGATGTAAGTGGTTGGCTGCCTGTTAATTTCAGAATAGATTTTAAGATCCTTCTTCTCACATATAAAGCTCTTAATAATCAAGCTCCATCATACATCAGTGATCTGATTGTTCCATACGTTCCTAACCGAGCAATTCGCTCTCAGACTGCAGGTTTACTGGTGGTTCCCAGAATATCTAAAAATAGGATGGGAGGCAGATCTTTTAGTTATCAGGCTCCTCTCCTGTGGAACCAGCTCTCAGTTTTATTTAGTCCATGAGGCAGACACCTTGTCTACTTTTAAGACTGGGCTTATGGTTAAAATCTGATGTTAGCCTAGATCTGGACAAGTGGGGGAGTAGAGGGAGGTGGAGTGTACAGTCGGTAAAGACGACTCTCCCTTGCCCTGCCTCCAACATGCCTCCATCTAGAAGGCTAGGTTATCCAGAGTTATCTCTGTAGTTATGCTGCTATAGGCTTAGACTGCTGGAGGACACACTGACCACTTTTCACACTCAACGACTTTCTTCTACAATCTGCTCTTTAACTGTATTATTTCCTGCTATTTCAGCTGTTAACTTTATTTTCTCTCTAAGTGTTTTTCTCCCCAGAAGAAGCTACAACGACGCTCTGCTGAGCTGTGGTGGCCTCATGGAGGGGGCCATCGTCTAGCACACTGCTGCTAACCACTTAAACGTTCTCCCTCTCCTGATAATAACTTTTTACTCTCTTTGACGTTGGATGTGCTACTACTAGTTTACCCGTTTAACTATAGATCCACTAGGATAAATACAATAAAGTTTATCTCTCACCAAATAGAATATTTACTAAGAAATCACAATATAACTATAGAAACACTACTGTGTGTGTGTGTGTGTGTGTGTGTGTGCACGTGTGCGTGTGTGTGCGCGTGCGTGTGTGTGTGTGTGTGTTCTGTCTTCTCCATCCCCAGTGAGTCGTGGAGGATGGCTGCTTATACTGAGCCAAGATTCTCTGGAGGTTTCTTCCTGTTAAAAGGGAGTTTTCCTCTCCACTGTCGCTGCATGCTTGCTTAGTATGAGGATTGCTGTAAAGTCACTGACACTAGTCAGTGACTCGATGCAATTTGCTGGGTTTCTTATATAGGAAACATTATTTCTGATTGGCTTAATGAACTGACCTGGATTGGAATTTTTATTATGTGAAGTGCCTTGAGACGACTCTTGTCGTGATTTGGCGCTTTATAAATAAACTTGAATTTAATTGATTTGAAAGAATGATCAATAAGATGTGATATTCCATTTAAATATTATCAACATTATTGATAGGTTGACATTTAATATGAAACCAGGTCTTTTTGGTAGTTCATGAACTACGCTGCAGGCAGGGGTGTAGCACCAAATTCTGGGCCCTAGGTACAAGTCTTCTAGGTGGACCCCCATGCTCAATTACTTAATATCTCTCTTACACATTTTTTGTCATGCTATAAGACAAGATAATAAATATGATCTTAGTTTAACCTCTATATTGAGCAAATACAAATGCCAGCATAATAAAAGTGAAATGCCCAGACTTCACATATAATTATTTTTATTTGCCAACAATGTGTTCGAACAAAAATCCTGGAATTTATTTTCCAGTAAATGCCCACTGACGGGTCTTCATGTTAGCAAAATCACTTATGAGATCTTTAAAGTCCAATCCTTTGGCTAATTGGCTTTCAATAGAAAGAAGAGCTAGGCTGTTCAGTCTATCCTGGGACATTGTTGATCTCAAATAATTTTTCACCAGTTTCAGTTTGCTAAAAGCCCGTTCACCCCAGCAACAGTCACAGGTAGTGTGCAAAATATCCTCAGTCCAATACAAACTTCTCCAAAAATGCTCTGTAAATGCATCCTGTAGATGGCATTAAGCAGCTCAAGAGGAGACAGAATGTGTGGAAATGTGGCACCATATATTGTTCTCAGGTGTAGCATCTCATTCTCAAATTCAGCTGTGAGATCCTTGTAATATTTTCTCATCAGTGCTGGCATGATATCTTCATCTGCTCTTCAGTCATGTCTGTCATGGTTCATAATGCTA